AGGGTGCTGTCATCTCAGTCTGCTTTGAATGAAGTCAGCGGTCTGAGCTCATGCCAGGTGAAGGAATGAGCCAGGTACTCACCCAGAGCTCAGCTGGGCTTTCTCCCACTTAGACCCAGGCTCAGCTGGCAGCTCCTCTGAGAGACAAAGCTCCTGGAAGCTGCCTGCAATAGCAAAGAGATAAAGAGGCTCAATTCTGGAAGGCTTTTCTTGGAGGGGAACTGCTCTTGCTTGCTATTTTCTTGTGACAATGAGTCAGAGCTGCCATGAGGGCAGGACCAGGTGGGCCCTTGAGGGATGCTTCAGGCCCTCTATGGGTGAAGCCAAGTGCCTGCCAGGGTGAGGGGTCCTGGGCAATGCAGCTCCTGCCTGCACCTGTGGGACTTTTGTGGAATTATGCTCCCACAGTGGGAGATGAGGCTCTCAGACAGGCTGAGTGCATCTGCTCTGGGCTCCCCACAGACTCAGTCTGCTGCTCAGTCTGCTGTTACTTTATCCCAGACCAGCTCCACTTCTCAGCCATGGGAGTACTTTGGCATGTATAAATTTCTTTTTCCTTCTGCACTCCTTCTTGGAGATACAGGGTCTTTACTGTAGTTATTTTCCTAAACATCTGATGCCATTTGATCTCTATGATCAAAGGTTCCAATGCAGGGAAAACCTGCCAAAGGCCAGAGAGCTGAAAAGAAAGCCAATGAGCATTTCCACCTTGCCCAAAGTATGCTACCTTTGAAGAGAGGAGGATTTCACCTCTAAAATACTGAACAAACTCCCCAGAACCCCAGTCCTCCTCACTCTGCAGATACAGCGTGAATTTTGCCATTTTTTTTATGGGATAACACTAAGGGTAAAGAATTGAGCTCAGATTTTAAGCCTCTTCCTGGTGTCTCCAGTTCAGGCTACAAGGCTGGGGTGAAAGTGTAACAGGTTGTGCTGTCCCGGAGCATCCCAACAGGTTTAGGGCTAGCAAAATATTTGTCTCCACTACCTCTGCCAGCTGGAAAGCAGTGCCTGTCCCACACCAGACAGGGCTGCACTTGGTGTGTGGTCAGTGACCCCTGTGTGTGAAGGTGTGGTGGCCAGCACCGCACCACAATCTGGAGATGAACTTTCACTTGACCATTACTTCACTCTGATTAAATTCACCATGAGCTGCAGCTTGATGAGAAAAAGCAATGCACCCATCAGACTGATGATGGAGACAAGAACAAGGCTGCTCCATGGAACTTGGGCTGGCAAGGACTAACTGATGTGGAAATTACGTGACTGAGGGTCAGCGATTACAGGACTCTCCTGCTCCATATGGGAGAGGCCACAGCTGGAAAATAGCTTGCTCTGTCCTAGGGACATCCCAGGAAAAGCTGTGAAAACAATTTGAAGAAAGCCTCTGTATGCATGAGGGTAGGCCATTCCCTAAGAAAGCCAGTGGGTGGGGAAGAATGGACTCTGAAGCTACAGAGCAATTTCATATGCAAGTCCTTTCTTGTACCGTAAGAAATCAGGCCTAAGTGGGTCCTGAAACCCTAAAACATTAGGGTTTCATCACATCTCAGTGGCTAATGTTCAACTGATTCTTTTTTGGTCTGTGCTGACAGGTTGCTTTTAGACTGACCACTTTTCTAGAATGACCACTTTTGTCCAGGGCTTAAATATGGCATTGGTTCCTGCTGTGGGCTCTCCTCAGTCTGGTGCCAAGGAGAAGCAGTGAAGTGTTTGCATTTTCAGTCCCAGTCAAGCGGAGAACTTAACATCTGCATTTTTTTTAAATTAAAAATGCCTGTAATTAACCACAATTTGACCTGTTCCCATGGGGGGAAACCCCATAGTAATCACAAAGAAATCAGCTGGTATTTTTCTTATGCACAGGGCTACAGTCAGGCAAGACCAACCTCACCAGGGCAAGAATTTACCCCAGCCTTCCCCTTTGTTTGGTTGTAGAATATCCTTTACCATATCTACATCTCGTTTGAAGCCAGGTTATCCCCCTGATAGTGGGAAAGCTGGGAGCCATCTTCGCAGGGCTGCACAAAGAGGGAGCTGCACCATTGCAAGGCCCTGACCTGAGACCATGCCCTTGTATGGACCCCAGTACTGCACTGTTTTTATTTACACCGTTTTTATTTGACAGCTTGGCCACTAAAGGAAGCAACTCCCAACCCTCCAGCTGACTCCTGGTCTCATGGGCAGAGCTGGGAGGTGTGACATTGATGCCATTCAGGACCCCAAAAGTGAAAGTGAACCCATCATTTTTTAAGTGTCCTTGTGCAAAAGGCTTAATGGTTTATTAAAGTGAGAATGACCTCAGCAAACATATGAGACAGACAAGAGCTGAGAGGATGTGGCTGAATGGGAACACCTTGCTAGCAAAATTGTAACTCTCACTTGCCCTGCCACTGTTCACCTGTCAGCCTTTGCTGCTTCTCCTTTGGGAGGGATGTGAGGTTTCCTCCCCATGCAGAGCCCAAAGTGATGCATGAAAAGTCAAATTCAACCCAAGCACCCTCAGGATGATGATCAGGGTAAACCCAGAGCAGGAGCCTGCTCCCCCATCCAGGAGCTCAACTCCCCCTTCCATCTCTCTCCTAGGCTCTAGGACAGCCACAGCTGGTTTGTGAGGCTTTATCTCTGCCATGAGCTAGAACTCTGCCTAAAATCCTCTTGGCAGGAATAATTCTCTCTAAAGAGAGACCGACCCTGTGACAGCACAGCCAAGCGCAGGGTTTCAGCCAGCACATCCCACGCCCCTCCGAGCACTCCCGCTGAACTTTGGGGTTTTTTTTTCCAGGCCAGCCCTGCATCCCCCTAGGCTCCCAGCCCTGGCAAAGGCAGGGCCAGCCTGCTTGGCATGCTGTGTCACTGCTGGGAGCAATCCCTGCTGCTAGGCAGCCGAGCCCGGCGGCCGCGAGCATCCCGGTCCAGCGTCCCCCCCGGCCTGGCTCGTCATATGATTTCTCCTAAGGGACAACTGCAGAGCAGGACTGTGTGTCTGAGCAGATCCTTTGCTGATAAGCCAGCTGCCAAGCCTCCACTGCTGAGACAAAAGAGTTTTTCTCTTCCCAGCAGGGTTCTTCTGCTGTGAATGACAGAGAAAGGGGTAAAAGTGAGCTGCCTGGCACTCCTCGTGGGCGAGAGGCTTTGGGGGCTCCTTGTCCCCCGCTGTGCTGGCAGACCATGGAGCTCTTCAGGCTGAGCCTGGGCTGCATTTGCCTCCTTCCTTGGCTTGAGGGTAAGTTTCTCCTCTTTTGGGGTAGCTGTAAAGCGGGAAGAGAGCTGCCTCCCGGGTTTTAACCTGCTTTCCTGCTGAACCGTTGCTTGGGCTACAAAGCTCAAGAACCCACCAGCTGTAGAACAAGTGCCAACAGGCACAATCAGGGCAGCATTTAAATGGGATTGAACACAGGGGTACAGAAGAGTGAGGGACAGGCTGGCAAGGTGCTGGGATGGCTGGGCCAGGGACACTGTGGCATCATGGTGGCAGCTTTTATGAAGAGCTTTTAAGCTGCTGAGAGTAGAGGATGAATAAACCTGCTCAGGGAGGGAGGCAGGCACTAAGTGACCTCCTAAGCACTAATGTTCCTCCCGGTCCCAGCTGCTCCTTCCCAGCAGAGGTGAGTGAGCTCAGAGCATGCTAGCAGCATGGCAGAGGGTGGTGGGAAGGGCAGAACTATTTGTCCTGCTCCTGTGGTGGTCAGCTGGGAGCGGGATGTGCTGGGGAGCTGCAGAGTCTGCACTGCTCATCTCCATGGAGCAAACTTGTTAGCAGCTCATGTTGATATTCAGCTGCTTTCTGGGGTCGCTCCAATCCTGTATCCTGCCCATGCACAGCAGTATTTCGAATCCAAGCAGCCCTGGTTTGATGTGCTTGGGTAGATGCAAAAAACAGAAGGCCCTGCTGAGTATCATCCCAGAGATCTGGGGCAGTGCTACCCAGGAACAGCTTCCCAGGAATGGTGCTACCATGGTCTCACGAATCCCATAAGGGACATCAGGAGGAATCAATTTTCTTTAAAAATGGAAAAAGTCCATGAGTTAATAAGCCTTTTTATTTTGCTGCTATGACTGAGACGTCAAGTTGAAAGTGACTTATTTATAAAAATCACTGAAGTTCTTCAAGGCTCCTTCAGTCCCTGAAGCAGCAAGAACAGCCCTGCAGTTTTACAGGTTGCATGCTCAGAGCTGTTCAAAATCCATCGACCAGAGGACCACAACTATTTGGGCTGCCCAAATAGTTTATTGGGATGTTTATTCCTTAAAGACAAACCTCAGACTGGTGCCCCTGACCAGCTACTTTCCATCCCTTGCTGCACAAGGAAGCCTCCCCTGGGGTGCTTTGAGAAGTTACCTTCTCAATTTGCTCTGTATCTGCATAAGAGGAGAGGTTTGTGCTCCTACAGGTTTGACTTCTGCTCCATCTACTGCTGTTTTCAAAAGTCGCCAATTAAAGTGAACTGAGTCTCTCACCTGGTTAAGCGCCAGGCTGAGGTTATGTCCCTGTAGTGGTAAGGGGTGATGACGCACATGCATCTTTTAGAAGTTAGAGGAGGTTTGGTTAGGACCTGGAAATTATACCATAATGGCATGCAGAGAGCAGAACAGCCTTCAGGGTGTTGCTCTTCCTTAGCCTCTAAAGTAGGATCTTGTCTGGTGTTAGAATAAAGTGATTTTTTACTGCTGCCATACAACCCAATCCACATGGTTTTGTTTTATTAGTTAAGTATGGAGGATCACAGGGTATTTAATTTCCTTTCTAGCGCAATGCTTTTGGTGGAAACATGATCAGCCACTGCATTTCATCCAGACCAGTAATAAAACAGTAAAACCACCACTCTTTTGCAGAAAGGAATTCATCTTCCCAATGCCTGGCAATGCCCAATGAAGCTCAAAGCACAGAGCACAAACATGTTCATGCTTGGGGCTGAAATCCCACTGTGGCAACTTTTCCCATCCCCTCCTGAGTTTTAAGGCTGCTGGCAGGACAGTGATGCATGCTCTCAACAAACCTCTGAGGGGTTGGTTTCCTGCTGAAAACTGAAATCCTGGAATTTCCTAAGCCGGTCCTGACAGTTGCTCCTTTGGAAAGTACCTGCAAGCAGAGAGGAGGCAAAAATCAGTTAGATGTCAGAAAAAAATTCTTCACTGAAAGAGTGATTGGGTAATGGAATGGGCTGCCCAGGAAGGTGGTGGAGTCACCATCCCTGGAGGTGTTTAAAAAATTACTGGATGTGGCACTCAATGCCATGGTTTCGTTGATGAGGAAGTGTTAGGTTAGCTCACAGGTTGGACTTGATGATCTCGAAGGTCATTTCCAACCTATTTCACTCTATGATTCCGTAAAAAGTTTTGTTAAAAATCCAGACCTAATGGTGACCCTGTGAGGTGCAATGGGCAGCGGTAAGTCAGGCACCAGCAGGATCTGTGCCTACATGTACAGAAATAAAACTGCATTTAACACTGATCTGGACCCCCATGCACTGGGTGTGAGGCTGTGGGGGATGTGTTTGGCATCTTGGCCTGATCCTATATCTTGGGAGCTTCCTCTCCCTCAAATCCATGGTAGTGCAGGCCCTGACCCCTGATGCCCTGACCTCAAAAGGCAGCCCTGAGCATTTTGCACTAAGGAGGCAGAAAGGCCAAGCTTGTACAATTCTTCCACTCCCACTTTAACTTTTCAGCCTCCAACTATTTTCCACTTGGGGGAATGGATGCATTTAACTCTTCAGCAGCCACCAGACCTTCTCCCTTGGCTTGTGCAGGTTGTCCCCAGCAGCAGCACACAATGCCTGGGTGCAGAACCCCTTCCTGCCCACTGCAAGCCTTCCCTTGGCACCCCTTGTCCCATCCAGGACCAGTCCTTGGCCAGTCAGACCCCCTCCATCTCCTCCAGGCCTCTCTGGATTTTGTAGACATCCATCATATCACCACCCCAGGGTTTTCCCCACTTGCATCAGCTTTGTGGTGACTTCACCAACCTCCCCTGCTTCCTATAATTTCTAGATTTTTTTTCCATTCAAAGCCTTCCTTCTTTTCCTATGGCTGCTCTGCTCCCTTGGAGACCTTCGCTGAGCTACTTGGTAAAAAGTGGACCTTGCAGTGATGTGGAAAGATATGAAGCCCTGTTGGTAAATCAAAATCAAGATATTCTTAAGAAAGGAGCAGTGGTTGGGAAAAAATATGGGCCATGCCACCCCAAACTATTTGCAAATGTCTTTGATCAAGACATCACAGGCCATGCTTAGAAACAGCAGAAACTTTTCCAGTCACACTGGGATTACTGGTAACCAAGGCTTTCTCAGTGGCATTACCTTAATTAGGAACGTTGCATGGATTTTGCCCCTAATCCTACATGGAACAGCATGTCCCAAGGGTGGTCATGCTGCAGAAAAGCAGGGGCCTGTATTTGCTTGCTTTTCTATCTTGTAACCAGACAGAGTGTCAGTATCATAGGACAAATGAGCTGGCATCAAGAAGCCTTGCTAGAAATTGTTTATTTTGTTCCTAAAAATATGAAGAGGCCAAAGTGTTCAAGTATGAGCAGCTCAAAGCAGGCATCTACTTGGACTCTGAGGGTAAGGCTGTATTTTCCAGAGATGCTGAGTCCCATCCTCAGGGAGTACACTGGATGCTCTGGTTCTCCCAGGTCAACATTCTTTAAAATGTTGGAGCTCACGGCCTTATTTGTAGGACCACTGGGCAGCAGGACTTGGGATGTCATTTTGTCTCCTGAGTAAAGATTCCTGGTGCCTGATGTGTGTCTCAAAGTAAAGATCCTCCAGGTGTAGCTGTGGGGCACGAGCAAAGGCTGCTGGCAGTCACATGAACTGCAAAGTCTGCAGGTAACAAACATGGTGATTGTTTAGAGGGGAACATAAAACATCAGGCACTCCACAGACAGCAAAACACGTATTTCCTACTGGGTCAAACAGCAGCACTTTTCTAAGTGTAATGAAAATACCCAAAATTTTCAAATGGAGAGTCATTGCCAAGAAAGGAAAAGAAAATACAGCAAAGATTGTGGCACGCTTTATAATAAAGCCTGTAACAAAACATATGAGAAAAAGACCTGGATGAGCAGCCTAGAGAGAGAATACAAAAAACTGCCAGCAGAATTTTTCAAACATTATCTGAAGCAGGAAGCTGGTGGGGGCCAGGAGGTCAGTAAATAAGTGGTACAAAGGCAAAATGGGTGAGCAAAAGTGGGACAGTGTAGAAAGGCTGAATGGATTACTGGCTGTAGTGCTCCTTCAGACATGGCCAGGGAGGTCGTGGCAGCCACTCTCTGCAGCCTGAAGTGTTATCAGACAGAATTGGCAACAGAAGAAGTTTAAGGAGGAAAGAGGAAAAAAAAAGGATAAATAATCTGTGGCAAAGGACCAGCCCAAATGTCTTTTGAGTTACAGAAAACTAAAGATGACATTAAAAAATGTTTAGGGAGTGTATTAAACCCTTATTTAAGGCAAGCTTGACACCAAAGGGCTGCATTACAGCAATAATGCCCCTCTTAAGAGGGATCCTTCCACAGCCTAGGGAGAACCAGGTCCTTAGGCTCCCTTTCAGCATCAGGAAAGTCAGTAGAAGCAAAGAGTATTTACAGACAGATAAACATGAGAAAAGTCAATGCAGCTTTTGTACTGGGCATGCCTGACATCCATGATGGTATCAGTAAGAACACAAATGTGCTGAGCAGATCAAGGTCTTGTGGCAGTGTTTGCAAAAGGCTTTTGATAAGAATCTTCCACCAAGGCCCTTAGGAAACTCCATTCTCATGGAGAAGGAGAGAGACCTAGCCCCCAGGCTGGAACCAAGACTGGAATGAGTTGACAAGATCACAGCAGTGATAGTATCAGAAGGTGCTCAGAAATATCAGAAGGGATGAATAATGAAGTAATTAAGCTTCCTGATGCCACAAAGTAATTAAGAATAATCAAAACTTAAGTTGACATTGTGAAACTGCAGAAGGAGCTCTGATACTGATGGAGCCACAAAATGATATTTTTCTTTGAACTTCAGAGCTGAAAAAGGTAGTGGGCAAAACCATTTTACCCATAAATACCCATCAATACTCTCTGAGTTAGTTCATACAGAGCACTGAAATGGCTGCCCAGAGAGGCTGTGGAATGTCCGTGTCCAGAGATGCTCAAACCCCACGTGGATGTGTTCCTGTGTCACCTGCTCCAGGTGATCCTGTGTTGGCTGGATTGGACTGTTTGATCTCCAGTGGTCCCTTCCAACCCAACAAATCTGTGGTTCTGTGATTTTTGGAAGGAGGCGCTGGCATCTTGCTGTCTTGATTGAGCTATTTACTTGTCTGATTCTTACCCTCTTCCTCTCTTGGCAGATGTTAATGGCCCAGTGCTGCAGACAGGATCCTGGGCTCAGCAGATGCTTTATCTGACCCAGCACAGTTGTCATATTCCCCTGTTCCATTGTAATGCATGTCTCAAATCATTACTTTGGAAATGGGTTTCTCCCAGTTAAGCTGAACCAAAGATGTGAGAATCCTGAATTCCACATCTTAGGTTAAAATGGTGAGGGTGGGCTGGGGGGACTGTATTAGTCCATTTCAATTTCCTAAAGTTTAAGGGAAATTACTTAAGAGACATTTCTCCTGCCTTTAGAGGCTGGCAGAAACTCAAGCCCAAAATGCATTGAATATGTTACCTCTACCTAGCCCTCAGTAAAGGGTTAAAGAGAACAGGACTCACAAGTTGCCCACAGATAGCCCAGAAATTTAATTTCCATTTAGGCACATTGGCTTGGCAGGAATTGTCTGGATTGGTGGCTGTCACAGATCCATGCAAGTCAACATCCCAGCGCAGACACACTGATCAGACAGTCTCAGAGCTGGTGGAGAAGCACTGTGGTTTCTGGCTCCTCTCCTCAGGCTGAGCAGAAAGCCCTGAGCTGTTTCTGCTTTACACAGCCCCAAGGCATTATTAATCTAGCAGAACCCTAGAATTTCCTGAGAGAAAAACATGAGAGCTCCTTTAAACTATTGTTTATACCATTGTTATTGTGTACCAGCTCCTGTTTATACTGTCACTAATCTTCTCAGGTACTGAGCCAAATACTTGTATTGGCTCTGTATTGTTTTGGTTTGTTGTGGCGTTTTTTTCATTTGGGAGGGGAAACTCTGCAGAAATAGTTTAGATAAAAATCAGTGTTCTTGCCTAACATCACTTTTTTGTGTCCTCTTTATGCTTGCTCAGTACTATATGCCCATGGGGCTTTTATAATTCTGTCTCCTGGGGAAAAGAGAGAAAAAAAAGTCACTGTAAAAGCTGGGAGTTGCAATGTGTTGTTATTAAAAGATTTCTCAGAATGTCCAGAAATTTGAAACTTCTACTTCTCTCCATCTATCTTAGGCATAAAATGCACAGCAGAAAGTTCACCTGCAACAGTGGTGGATGGTTTAGCACTTAACATTTTTGCTCAGGATATTCACAGGCCACGCCTGATGAAGTTATACTGAAAACAGTGGCAATCCTTCAGCTAATGTGACATCCATCTAAATCATCTGAGATGTTGGGACCTGTTGCTCTTAAAAGCAACAAGCAATTACAGAAATTGCTTCAAATTTTGTGTTTGTTGTGGGACAGCTGCAATGTCTCCCTCCTACTAAAGGATTTTTAAAAGTGGTACTGTTGTTCCTAAAGTGCACAGACCAATGTCAGATGTGCTAAATCCAAGATAATTTCATTACTTACATGAGCTGCCTCAGCCAAGTACTTACACACTTCTGGTGGGGTGTGGTTTTATCCCTGCACTGCTTTAATACCTCAAGAAGCCACTTAATAGAAAGTGTAGCCCAAGGTGGCCTAGTTGGCCCCAGATGAACAGCACGAGGGGCATTTCAGCTGCTCTTTCATAAGAAAGATTTGACCTGGGTAGGGCAAAAGATCCCTCAAACTAATTTGTCTGGAGGAAGGGAAGGATGGCTACCTTAAAACAACTGAAGTACTGAATTAAATACATATACACATAGGCAGATATAGAATCATCCAAGTTAGAAGGATGTTTTTCCTCATTAGTTACGTAACTGCTATTTTGCTCTAGCGTTGCATGCTCCTGTTTTTCAAAGAAATGTCATTCCAGGAAATTAGGAAGCTGTGGGAACTGTTTATCCAGGCATGCCCATCCAGGAAAGGACTGGTGGGTTACATCTTGCCTCCCCCAGGGTATTTACAAAGGGGTGTGTTAGTGCACAGTACTGAACCCCGCTCTGATTGTACCGCAGTAGCAGAGGGACAAGGCTTCCTCATAAGGAACACCCGGCTGGAAAAGTGCATCCGTGCCTCCCAGGAGACCAACAGCATCAGCCTGGCCAGCTGCAAGGAGCACTCCCAGCAGCAGAGGTGGGGCTGGGACCCCGACACGGGCACCATCGTCAGCCTGCACACGGGGCGCTGCCTGTCGGCACACAGGATGCGCCAGAACGCCCTGGTCAAGCTGGAGCCCTGCGGAGACTGGGAACGCCAGGCATGGTCCTGCAGCAGGAAGGGACATTTGACTCTGCAGAGCTTGGGCTTCCACCTTGGCACCAAGGAGGGAGGCCACAAGGTGTTTGTCTCGAGGGAGAAGGACAAGTTCAGCAGGTGGAAGACGCTGGCGGATGAAACCGTCTGTGCTGCTGCCCGGACAGCAGCTGGGAGACCCAGCAAACCAACACCACAAGCTCTAGACACACGAGTGCGGATCTATGAAAGTAAGATGAGGTAGATTTGGTGTCAGATAACATCTAACTTTCATGTCATCCAAGCCATCTAACACCAGGCCTGCACATGTCATTGTAACTCATGTTCACTTCGGCCCCACCTGGAGAAACACCAAACGGCTCCAGCTCAACCCCACTACCTGGCACCACTGGTTTCCAGCAGTGGCTGTTCAGTCTTTTCCAGAGGCATCCAAAACCTTACATGATCAGGTTTCCAAAACCCAGCTGCACTTCTGAGGACAGGCAAATATTTTGGGTAAAATATTTCTGAATTGGTGCCCACAGCTAAGAATAGTGGAAATTGCTTGAGCCTCCCAAGCACAAAACACCCAAGGAAGTCCCCCAAAGTCGGGCACTTCAGACTTCAAAAGAGCTTTTAGTACTTTGGAATGTCTTTTTTTGGTAAAACAACTGGAGGCAGCTGAAAACTTCTTTTAAACTTATATATATTATTGAGAAGCAGTTGTATCAGAAATTATTGCAGCAGTTTCTGAAATTAAAGTTCTCTTCTGTGGCACTCCAACAGTGCACCTTTCACTAATGAAATCTAGTTGTAGCCTTCATTCCATGTTCTCATTATCCTCAGTGAACCTTGCTGCTGGTGCCCAGTGTAGCCATGAAGGCACTGGTGAAGACAGCAAGTAGTGGGAGGGAGCTTAAGTGTTGCCCTCCCTTTGCATTAGGAAATCCCAGAAGATGACATCAAAAATTATTAGAAATGGGGTTTATATTGACCAATTATGGCCTTGGCCTTTGCTGAAGAGAATCCAAACTGCTTTCACCAGTATTCACTGGCCTTTGTTTTACAGTGGACCCAGAAAGGGCAAAAACCCTGGTCTTGTCACAATTTTAGATGTTTGACATAAGGCTACCAAACACCAGGCATGGTCATTTTACCAAGATGTGGCTGTGATAATTTGTTCATGCCCAGTGAAGCCCACTGCTGATCACTGATAGTTCATGGTCCAGTCTGTTTCCCACTTTCATTCAAGTCCTTTCTGCAAATAAAAGTGGTTTTTGGTACTTTTCTTGTAAAGTTGTGTGCAGAACTGAGACCTGAAAATCACATTCCATTCCTCCTCTCCTCCTCTCCTCCTCTCCTTTCTCCCACTCCAAAGACCCAAAACCACCTGGTGTTTGTAATGATTTTTTAAGTGTTTGTCACTCTGTGATGAAGTTCCCAACATTCCTCAGGGAAAATTATTTCCCTGACAGGAGGCTATTCCTTACCTTAAGGTTGATGGACCCAAAGAGATTTTGAGCTCCGTAGAAACGAGTAAAGAAAAAAATGTGATGTATCTGCTTGGCATAAGCAGATGGATTATAAGTGTAACCTTTTGACACAGAGACACTGTATCTAATTTGAAATAAAAAGAGATACATCAGCTGCTTTGGCTGTCATGTGTAGAGAAGGTGGTCTTTTTCCCCTCAAGCTTTTTAATTAGCCAACTAGAAGGTCAACATGTAATTATCACAATAGTTACAAGTGTTTGTTTAACATTAAGTTAAATATGGACCAGACAAATTGGACACCATAATAGGCTATTTAAATATAGGCTAGGAAATGCGTGGAACATTTAAGATATGGGAAAAAGGCATGTGAAAAGAGCATTCTCATTCCCCAAGGCAATGCTCCTGGCAACCCAGGGCTGCCTTGGAGCCAGGATCCCTAAATAAGGCTGTGAGGGTAAACACAGAGCAGCTTTTGAATCAGGCTGTGCCACTCAGCGTGTCTCACACAAAGTCAAAATTTTCCTATCAATCCCATGGTTCAGTCTACTGGAGGGAACCTCTGACTGCTCACTAACAACACCAAGTCCAACATATTTGCTCAGGCATTTCTCATCTAACTTCCACCTGATCATCAACAGACAGCTTACACTTCGGTGGGTTATCTGCTCAATAAATTACACCTGTGCAGCTGTGCTGTGGGTGCTCATGCCACAGGGTGGGATGGGGTCTGGATAGGCAGCAGGGAGCCCTGAAGTCACCGTGTTCCTGGTCCTGGCATGTGTATCATTGCAGCAGAAGGGTGAATTGCTGACACCAAAGTTCACACAGCCTCCCCTCTAGCAGCAGCTGTTTGCCCACACACCCTGCTCTGCAGCAGGCCTGGAGGGCACAGGAAGGTGTTGAGCCTTGCAGGAGGTATGGCCTACTTAAAACCCTTTGGATCCCATTTTTATATCTGCAGTGTTGTTAAGAGCCATGATTCTTCCACTTGCCTCTTCCTCACACAGCATCCTTTAACATCTGGTGCTGCACTCACACTGTTAAAATCCCCGACCACATCTACCACCAGAAAACAAGCTCTGCTTGGGTTGTTGAGTCCATCTTGAGAGGTTCATTTCACCTTTAATATCTGTGACAGCTGAAAGCCTTTGGTGCACAGGAGGGGGTGATTGCTGCTGCACCACATCCTTCTCACCCTGCAGGGCAGAGAACCAAACCAGAAGGGCTGGGTTCCCCTTCCTTGCTGGGCAATGAGCATATCCATGTTCCTATACAAAAAATAAATGATAATCACACAGATCTTTGCTTTATTTCCTTCCAAGCTAAAACCATTGATTCGTCAAAGATCGATGCTGTGGACAGAGAGTCTTCTGTGAGCTTGACTGACCCCCCTCTGGCTAACAAGTTCAACAGCACAGTGTCTCCAGCAAAGACCAAACAGGCACAGCTCCCAGCAAATGAGGGTGAGCACTTTTCTGAACCCATAAGTAAGAACAGCAGGATGGAAAGTGTGGGCAGCACTTTGAGGTTACTCAGCTATTTTCAGTGGTTGAAGAGTACCTGAGATTTCTGAAGAATTTCCACGTGTGCCACTGAATGCTTTCACCCAACATGCTGAGGAGTCTCCCTTGGAAAGCAGAGCAGTGATACAGGATTAACCTGGAGGCATAGCCACCCACTGTTTTAGGAGCAAAAATTATCTGTGGTTGGGGAGCACTGAGTGACAGTAAAGTTTTCTTTTCCTTTCTAGGTCCCATACAAAAGGGATCTGTGGTTACAGTGAAGCCTGATGAGGAATCTGGACCCCTGGTCCAACTGGAAGTTGCTAATCAGAGTCTTTCTGCTTCTTCCACTAGATCCATCCCACAACCACTCCAAGAAACATGGAAATCGGGGGAAAAACACTGGGGCCAGGCTTGCAGGTAGGTCCAGGGATCAGCCAGAGGAGGAAGGGACCAGGCAGATGAAGGTTCATCAGTGCCTCTGTCCTTCCCATTGTGACAGAGATACATTTCCCTGGGGTACTGCTGAGGATGCTCAATAGGGAATGAGGACACAAAATTACCTGTCAGAAAGACTCTTTTTAAATCTCCACAGGCCTGAGATAAAAAAAAATAGTAAAAACATGAAAATGAGACAGCTGCTAACACTACTGCTTTTCCCCAGCCCTTCTTCTTTTGTATCAGAAAGATGCAGAGTGGAGAAGCATGAGATATTACTGTCTTCATAGCAAGAAAGAAAAACTTCTGTGGCCACTTTCAATAGAAGGATGCTGTGCAGTATAAAAGCAGCTGTAAGATGTTGATCTTGTAGACAATGCACTTTGCCTGTTATCTGGCACTTTTCAGGGACATTACATGCGATTTTTTGTGGCAGTTGTGGCTACTGCATAAGAGCAGGGATATGTACAGCAAACAAGTGATGCTTTCTCTGATACCCTTTCAGGCACGAACTGGAAGACAGCCATGCTGGTCCTCAGCCCCCTGGCTTTCATACTGGGATTAATAATACTGACACTCAATGTTCACTACAACAAGTAAGTGAGAGTCAGGTTCATTGATTTTGCTATGAACAGCGTCTTAAAGAAAAACTCCAACATCTCAAAACAAAAGTCTTAGTCTTGGCACCCTTCCCCATTCCACACCCGATGTTGCTGGCTCTCAGCAGATGGGTCTGGTCACTAATGTGTCACCCTTGGGGATTTCTCCTCTCTGCCACCCAGTTTACCCATCCCACTCAGTGACCCGCCCAAATGCAGCCACTACTGTTGGCTCCTCCTCCCCTGCACGTGTTGTGCCATTACAGTTGCTGATGTGGAGAAGCAACCAAGTGGCAGGTGCAGTGACTCTCTTCTCTCTTGTCTTAGGAAGAAGAAGATCCTCTCTGCTCTGAAGAGCTCTCCCGCCCACAGCAGCCGAGCTGATTTACGGGAGCCGGCCCCTCTGCGCAGAGGGATCCATCCCCAGCCGCGCCTGCCGCCATCCCGCTCCCCCTCCCTGAGGCGGGGAGAGATCCTCATCGAGTGGAAAGACGGGACTGTCACTCCTCTTTTTGACAACATCAATTACCAAGTGGACTAGCTGCAGAATGACAGAGCTTTTGTTCCCTCCCGTGTCACTGCTCCCACCAGGAGGGCTGCCACCACAGCTATCTCCTCCCTGCCATTGCTGTTTTGACAGGAAGCACAGTTTGGCATTTTTTCTAAACACTTGAGTACAATCTTCTTGCACAGGACAAGGGCTGAAGCAAGCAGAGTAGATTGTTTGGTTTGTATAGGCACATGCTGCTTAGCAATTTCAGAACTGCTTTAACCCATAAGAAACCTCAGGTTTCCCTAAATGAAGCTGGGACTACTGCCAGCTGCAACTGCCCATGGAATCAAAATTAAAGTTATTAAGCATATGAAAAAGTGAATCTTTGAAGACAAGGCAAAAGGTAAAAAGCAAAAGTCCTGATGATCCTTAAATTCTTTTTAAGATAAAACTAGCTGCCAATAGAGACAGAAGACCATCAGTTACATTGTCAGTGTGAGAATGTAATTAATAAGCACTGCCTTCTATAAAATCTCTTCCTGAGATCTGCCAAAATATTCATCCCCACTAAGTTGTCAATTAAGTAACAGCAAGTCATTTTTCTAACTGAAAAGGTAACACTCCACTGTCCTCTCTGCATCACTGCAAGAGCCCTGCTGAGAGAGCATGTGTCTCTCAAAACTTTTCCATATTTAGGATATACTAAACCTTATTATAACACACACCCTCTTTTATTATATAGACTGGCAAGAAATGTCAGTCATGCTTGTTGGGGATATTGCATCTAGAGCCACTTTATTCCAGCTCCAGTCTCTGATTTCCTATAATCATATGGAGTAGTCAATGAATAGATACACTGCTCCACCAGAGCAGTAATACAGTCCTTTTTCTTTTAGATAGGAGTAAGACATTGTTTTCAGCCTTTACACTTCTTGTTTGAGCAAAATTACCTGCAACTATCACACGCAATCCTGATCTTTTCTCAGTGAAATCTGCAATGTCTTAGTGCTTTCCTACTATTCATGAATGTATGCTTTCTTTCTCTCCGATTCTGCGATGATGTAATCATGGCTGTAAGTCAAGAGTTATGCGGAGAAAGAAACAATAACACCAGGAAATTACAAGTATGAGCTGTGTCAGTGCATTTGTTCAGTAGATCAAGGGAAACAGTATCCTCACATCTCTTACTTAAGCAACGCCTTTCACTTGACCTAAATTAAGCTGTTCTGCTATTTCAGTGTAGCTTGGATTTCTCTTGAGTTTTATTTAACCTACAGCAGAAGTAAGATCTCTCCAGGGAATTTAAAATCTCTGGGGTTTTTTAATAATCTCTGGTTGTTTGTTTGTTTTTGAGGGTTTTTTAAAATTATTTTTCTTTTTAAATGGTAAAAAGTCCACTGTCATAAGATATTATTATAACCGAAAACTTTACTGGTCTTAAAAAAAAAAAAAACCACCAAGCCCTGTTGTTTTAGGGCATAAATATCATAGAGGTTGGAAATAAATATCTTTGCCAAGCAGATTATTCCATAATTATTTACTGGAGGGCTTCCCAGATGCTCCTTGGGAAAATATTTTACTATTAGACATGGGCAGAGGCAGAACTCTTTCTTCACCAGCAGGCAGCAAGAATCAGAGCTAAATTCTGACTTTCCAACATTTCTACTTTAAATGAAACTCAAAGACCAAAAAAATGGGATCAAAAAATAGTTTAAGAATAATTTTACTTGCAAAATATGTGGGAATACATTCTGTACATAAATCACTTAAAATGCACACACAGTGCCTTACCCATGATCACAGTTACACCCCTTGGAATTTTGTCCAAGGAGCACATCACCTAACAGTGCACAGCACTAGTCACCCTCCAAAACCTTGACAGGCTTTGGGAGCACTATGTGAGCAGTGCCATTAAAAAGGAAATACTGGCTTGGAGCTGATCTAATGTGTTTTCCACAGCATCAAGTGCCTGCGTTCATTACTGCTGAATGGGCAGAACCGATGACTTGTTAATGACTCTCTAACTCCAGCTTAATATGCTAATCTTGCTCATAAACAGGATGGCAGCAACACCATTGTTTACACAGCACTGATTAAATGGTACCTCAAACAATAATGAAAAACCAAGACTGAGGCTTTTAACTCTTCTTTCCCACTCTCACTGGTTGTTACACTCTCTGCCACCTCCTGAGTGGAACACTTCTGAAGAAGTGTTCATAATCAAAATAAAGCCTGACTGTAATGTGGACGAGCACTGGAGTTTTTAATGTGTATATATACACAGTTATTTATATATAAAAGCCTCCTTATAGTGCATCCCCTTTTTTGAAAACATAAATATATGCAATTTTAAATAACTCCACTGGAAGATAATGGAGTGACATGCAAGACACCCCTGTCACACTGGTACCAACATTAGTAATGTCTGCTACCCCAAAAGATGCGTGGGTGCAGCCATAGCAGTACTGATAGTATGAAACAGACATAAGATTGCACATAAGCTTGGATATCCTGCACAGAAAGTGGATTAAATACCCCTTCCCGACCCCATGGGAAATCTACGGCTAAGGTGTCTGTTAAAGATCCAAAAATTAAAATAAAAAGGCAAAAGAAGTTCAATTTACCACTTAAATACTGCACCCAATCATTTACTAAGACTGTCTGGATGGAAAATGTTCTCACAACAGTATACATTATGGATGTACATAAATTCATGATACAAAAAAAAAAAGATCTGAAATGATCTGACAAGTTATCACTGCATATCACTGGAAGAGGTGGGAATAGAACTACTGCATCCTCATTTGAAATTCAAGGTATGACTTCTGCAGAAAGCTTTAGTTATTAAAAATCCCCATATGCTCATTTTCTCAACTCTCTAGCTTTACATCAGCAAGTCAAGATGTATCAAGTGTTTGATTTTTCAAAAAGACCTGTGGTTGTTCAGCACTTCAAGGAAGAAAAAGAAAGGGGGAAAAAAAAAGAAAAAGAAAAGGAGACAGAGACAGAGGAAGTCTTTTGTTAGCTCTGGGCTTCAATGCAGACATCTCTGGCTTAGGGTTCAATCAGACTATACTTTTTTATGCTAGCTAGGAGAGACAAAAGCATATTCTCTTTAAAAGCTCCTTGTATCCTCACTGAATTTCTACAGATTAAAAAAAAAAAAAAGAAATCTACATTTCTGCAGCCATATAATTCTTCCTTCAGTTTAAAACATAAGAAGCACACCTGTCTCCTCAAGAAATCCCCTTATACTTCACAAAACCACTTATTCTCTGGAGCACAGAAACTGATGCACTTCCTTCAGCATTGCTTGCATGTCCTCATATTCTGCAAATTTGCAGGCATCCTCCAGCTTCAGCCACCGGAAGGCTTGGTGCTCCTCTGACAGCTTGATTTCTGTGTTGCAGTCCTTCATTTCTGCCAGCCAGTACACGACGGTCTTGGGCTTGCCGTGGACAGGGTAGTGCAGCTCCTTCTTGTAGCCCTCGATGAGGGTGAGCTGGCTGGCCTGCAGGCCTGCCTCCTCCTGCGTTTCCCGGAAGGCTGTCTGCAGGTCATCCTCCCCAGGGTCCACGTGGCCTGCCAAGAGGGTGGAAAAGTAAATCTTCAGGAAGGAAACTCACGTTGTGCTTTAATCAGGAAACACCGGGAGGCAGAGACGAGAGTACATGGTAGCTGACACAGGATGAAATGGAAATTGGAGAAGAGAGATTGTTTTTCTAGATCTTTATGTCTTGATTTATCTTTGTCTTGTGGCTTTTAGGGTCACTGTTCATCCCTCACCTCCTGAAACTTCCATCAGCCTCTCACCATCAGACATCTTTTCTTCCCACTACTCCCCTCCACTTCTGGAGTACCTTACACCCATAAAGCTCCACCTTGGATTATACTGAGGACTGAGTCCCTCATTTTTCCTTCATCCAGTTAGAGCAGAGACAAGTCATCTGAGACTCTTAATCCTCTCTCAACCATGTCCTCTCACATAGGCTTAAGGCTCAATTCCGCAAAACTCTTACTTGTGCCAACAGTCCAGAAACAACGGGACCAGGCACAGATGTGTACCATTTAACAGGTACCATTTAGGCAGCCAGGGATCTTTTTCTCCTCAATACCCCCCTCTGAAACAACCAACAAGTCTAAAAGCCAGTCCTTTCAACAGCTGGGTAGTTCTCCTAGGATACACGATTTATTTTACATTGCTCAGAATGAGAGGTGCCACTACAAACAAAGGATAAATATAACACATCCCCAGCCATTTGTACTTTTGTTGAGAAATGTCAGATTTGATTTTCTCATGAAAGCTCCAGAACATAAATAGAACAAGCCAAGCAATACCTCAAAAAAGCAACACAGCAGGAGCTGGGACATTTTGGGAGGTAAAAAAGTTTAATCTCTGTTTTGTCCCTGGTGTCAGTCTATTTTCTATGTAGCTGGCTCCAAATAGCTACAATTTTATTGCAGAGATGAATTGTTCCTCAGGTCTGAGATACTCAAAGTGCCCTTTCAGAACCACAACTGGGGGTATGTAGGAAGTTTGTTTTGCCTTTGCAACAGGTCCCACTCACTTCCTTGCCTATGTATCAAAATGTGAACATCACTTACAACAAGACATCACCTCAGATATAAAATGCACTTTTATTTCAAGCAGCCACTGTGCAGAAAACAGCATTTGATACCTGTTGATAACCTCAGGTCTAAGCTCAGTAAGTTGCCATGTTTGTGCAGTACAGTCTACCTGCAGAGCAGAAAAAGGACTGCAGGCAGCACCTCACACACCACAGCTTTCAGATCCTTTCAGATCTTCCCACCTGTTCCACTGGTGCAGTTCTAATAGATTGAGAAGGAAAATGAACCCTACATCCCCTTCCCATCAGCCTCAGCTAGTACCAAGTCACAGTCCTAGGGGCAGAGATAAGGCTGATGAGGTTCTTGTGAGGGGATCCAAGCAAGTCCAGTTTAATCCCATAAGAGTTGCAGCAGCTTAGAAAACTTTTAAAATAACAAGGTACAGCTACCGCTGTAAACTGCCTTTTGTGTGTGCTTTGAGACACTTCTTCTGGCTGCTGCCCCATGGAATCCGTGTAAACATCACATACATGTTACCACACTGCACATCCCAGGGTTACCTTGGAAGACCATTCCTATCACAGATATTATAAAATTCACTAGCTTCTCCTCAATAAATTCCCTCCAATCAATACCAAGCTTCTATTACAGGCCACCATCAGACTGGGGTGCTTGATCTCTAAAACCTGAAGTGGTGTGTTGAGGGAGGTGATTCTCCCCCTCTGCTCTGGTGTGACCCCACCTGCAATGCTGCATCCACCTGGAGCCCTCAGCAAGGGAGGGACATGGACCTGCAGGACTGAGTTCAGAGGAAGCCATGAATATGATCAGGGAGTGGAGCACCTCTGGATGAGAGAGTTGGGGCTGCTTAGTCTGGAGAAGAGAAGGCTCTGGGGAGACCTCAGAGACACTTCCAGTGCCTAAAGGGTGGTGGTTTATGAGAAAATTGGGGACAGACTTTTGGAAAGGACTTGGAGTGACAGGAGAAGGGCTCCTGCTTTTCATTTAGGAGAGGGCAGATGCAGACTACAGACAAGGAAGACTTGCTTTTACTGTGAGGGCGGTGAAATACTGGCACAAGTGTCCCAGAGAAGCAGTGAGTGCCCCATGCCTGGAAACATCCAGGTGGGATGGGACTCCATGAACCTGCTCTAGTTGAGGATGCTCCTGCCCACTGGTGGGGGCTTGGACTAGACAACCTTTAAGATTCCTCCCAACCTACACTACTCCATGATCCCAGGTGTGTGAGATGTATGTTTATGAGACAATTAGCTCCCTACCAAAACTCCTACAAGTAATTTAAATCACTTGTACAGAATTACTGTGTTCCCAGGGAGCCTTCCACAAGGGTTTCTTCTCACAACAATCAATCATGTCCCAGCAGATGTTTTTTTTAGCTTTCCTCTAGGCTGCAAACTCAATTCCCTTAGGCTCTTGGTGGAGTAGACAAAGGGGGAGGTTTGGAAAGTTTTGTTCTTTCCCTCAATAGGCGAGCCTAGCTGACACTGTAAAAAGATTTTTTTTTTCCTCCAATTTGCAAGTTCTTGTTTATAAACTGCTGCACCATGCTTTGAAAGTGACACATTTTACAAAATAAGAAGCAAAAACTATCGGGGAAAAAAATCTCAGGTGGGAAAAAACAGCAAGAAGACCTCTAGGGAACCTGAAGCACTTTTGTGCTGCACTTTTCCTGGTACCAGGGCTGTGACTGTTCACTACCAAACACTGGCTCTGTGACATGCCTTTATGGAGGAGGTTCTGCTGAGTCCTGGGACACAGGGCTTGTTTTCTGCTCTGAGGCCTCACTGATGAGCAAGAATGGCTGGTAAGGTGAATTCTCCTATCTGTCCCTCTTATCTCTATTGCATTAGGCAAGTGATCTTCATCAATGATCTCTTGCATCTCCTCAGAAAGGTGTATTTAAGTGTTCTATTACAGATTTCAGTTTGCCTTCCTGCAGACCCTGACCACACATGGGCCAAACAATCCCGCACTGGCCACACTGCAGGTGCCTGGCAAAGGGTGAGACCCAAGACAAGCGTGAACAACCCCTCATTACCTCGCCTCAGTCGTGTGCACACCTTGCCAGAAACATCAGACACCTGAGGAGCTGGGCTGGGTGATGGTCCCTGCCCAATCCAAATAATTTGTGCCCAACACTTGGTACAGCCACAATCTGCAGAGGGTTTCAGCCTCAGAATTGCCCCCTTAGCTGTGCCAGGAGCACCATCACACAAACAGCATGGGCAGCAGCTACTCTCAGGTAAAACTGACCCTCAGACAAAATCCTCTCTGCAGCCTGACACCAGTGACTGCCAGCAGTGTCACCAGAACAGAAATCACCTTTGGGTGGGGTCCAGTGGTGGCTCCCGTAGGATGTCTGCAGCAGGAGGTACTCGATGCTGTCAGCGACCTTAGAGGATGGTGCTGGCTGCAGCCTCCTGAAGATGATCAAGCCACAAGCTCTCACAGCCATTCCCCTCTGCCAGCTGCACCAGGAGCTGTGGAAGAGCACAAAACACGGGGTTCAAACAGAGCAGCTCTATTCAGCCAGCAAACAGATCTCAGCACAGCAAAAAAGCTGTCCACCCTTGGAAGTTACTACAGAATTAAATTGCATAATATTAGCCACCTTTGAATTGTAAAAAAATTTACTTTGTTATCAAGAAGCATGAAAAATGACCTGCATGTCATGTCTTTGCTGCTGATAAATTACAAACCATATTGCAGGGAGGGGAACAAAATTACAAAGCAAAAGGAAAGCCACAGATTAACACCCTGAAACTTTTCCACTGCAAAACTGCATAGGCCCTGCACAGAAGTAATACCTCACCATTACTGGAACTGGCATATGGAAATGATTGCTCTGGACAGTTTCCCTGGAGCACAGGACTCAGAATATCAGGGAAAAGCTGAGAAAATGAATGACAAAGGACAGGCTGTCTGCTGTCTCACCTAGACATAAGGCTGTCATACAAAACTAAAAGTTTCTTAGCATGCCTGTTAAGCACTGGTTTGATGTAAACAACAAGAAATACACCTCTTAAGTGATAAATATTGTCAGCAATAAACTAGGCAGACAGCATGAGTAGTCCTATAGAGAAAAAGAAGCAATGGACTTGAGTAAGCCATGCTACAAATTTGGCAGATTCCCAGTTACGGGAAAAGCTTTGCATTCTGACAGAGACGCACAGATCAGTAAATAATTTTAGAAAACACTGTATTTTCCTCAAGAAAATGTCAAGGGCGGGTTTGTGAGTCCTCCAGCTCCCAACACGGGAAATGAGAGCACGGAGCCCTCCGCCACCAACCCCGCCCCGGGGCGACGCTCATCTCCTCCGGTCAACCACTTCAACCGCTTCCTTTAGCTCCTGCCTACTTCCTTCGGTTCAGCCACCACAAGGCCAACACCCCTCTGCGGCCCCCGCGGCACCAGCACCACCTCCCGTGCGCGCCGGGAAGGACAAGGACAAATCCCCGCGGGCCCGTCCGCCGGCGCCTGGCCCCGCTGCCCTGCCCGCTCCTCGCTGCCCGCAGAGGGTCCCCCTTGTACCCGGGGATGGGGACACCGGGACCCCGGGGATGGGGACACCGGGACCGAGCACACGTGTCACCCCCACAGCGGCCACCATGGACCCCCGCCCTCACCTCTGCTTCCGGGTCTGGCAGTGGGCGGGAGCCAGCGCACATTGGCGTCAGCATTAACCAATCGCAACTTCAGCTCCTCGGCCGGTAGCCACTCCTTTCTCGTCCCGCCCCCCAGCCTTCCCTTAGTCCCCGCCCCCGTACCCGAGAAGGCCTCGGATTGGCCTCTCGCTGCCGGGAGGTGCCCTACCGGTCTCTCTCCCCTCTCGCTATTGGCTGGCAGTGCGCGCGAGGCTGCGCGCGGGCGTTTGAAGCGGGAAAAGCGTTGTTGCCATGGAGACGCGGCTTAATGGCCGCCGCCGAGCGGCGCCGCGGCCGGTGAGTGAGGGGGGACCCCAGCCCTGATGGGACGGGGACAGCGAGGGCAGGGAGGACTCTAGGGACGTCGCCCTGACCGGTCCCACCGGGCTCTAGACAGGGGAAAAGCCGTGGTGGGACAGCTCCGGGAAGGATGAGACATGTCCCCCCTTCAGGCACGCGGTGCAAGTCCGGACGCGTGGCGGTTTGTTTAGCTACTTTTTTATAATTACAAAATATTTTTCAATTTTGCATTTTATATATTTTACGGATAACACATTGCTTATACACCACGTAAAATATGTAAGTGCAATTAAAAATACATATTTATATACATTATGTAAAATATAAAAAATACTTAATTGCTACTTAAAATACATTTTTAATATATTTTACATAAGATCTATGAAATATATTTTGTATGTTTGTATGTCTAAAAACTTAAGCAAAACTTTGAAATTATAAAAGAAACCGTGAGGGGCTGTTGGTGGACCCTGCTGGGAGAACGAGCTCAGGCACGGTTTTCAAATAAGTGGCACCCTGCCATAACTCGTGGGTTATTTTCTCCGCACGTGGTTGAATATTGGACACTTCCAATAGTCAGTATCCCAATATTGGATGCTTCCCCTTCCCCGTGCAGCTGTTCCTGGCAGCTGTCGGGATCAGCTGCAGGATGGGGCCTCTTCTGCTGAGGTCACCAGGTTATAATTAGTATGGAGAGGGGAATAAAATACTCTGACATGCTTTGTGGGGAAGCAAAAAAATCTCCAATATTTGTTTTTTGTCAGCCACTTTTAATGACGTTAATTAGTATGGATAGAGCAACACAATACACTGAATTGCTTTCGGGGAAACAAAATAATCCCCAATATTTAGTTGTTTGTAAGGTGGTTTTAATGACATTAATTGTTTTATTAACTTCCTCAAGGAATGTCAGCGGCAAAGGAAACCCCCGTTTCTTACTTGTTGCTGCAAGCAGCAGACCTGTGTCAAGCTCCAGCTGTAAAATAGCTTTTGAAACAATTTAGCATTAAAACCCTTCCCTCCCCTCCAGTTACTGTTGCTGTGTTGAAGCTGTAAGTGGTTATCTATTGTCAGTATCCAGCTTCTGAACAGCTGAACGCTTGTTCCAAGGAGCAGTGGAATGTTTAATGCCCTGTTGTTTACGTGCAGGGTGGAGTAATCCTATGATCTTCCAAAGGGATCTGCTGCAACGTAAACCACAGCTTCACAGATCCCCACCTTTTGCATTAAAATAAAATTTTAGGCTCATTTTACAAAACAGATTGTCTCTTATTGTGGAGCTTGTCTTAAGAAAGTGCAGCTCCCTGTTCTTCACAGGAATGCCCTAATTCCCAAGGAATGGGGTCAGAATGATTAAAGGTAAAGCATTTTGTGTGTGCTCTGGGAAAGCAAATTAGCCATTCGCTTCTGGAGGGTTAAATCAGATTTGGCTTTGGATCACCTTAGAAAAAAAAAGAGCTTAATGTTCAAATGAATAAGGAATGAAGATGGATGGGTAGTGACAAGAATTAATACCTTTCCCTTTTCCCTATTCATTCTTTGCTTCTGTATTTCAAGAAATCTGCAAATTCTTTGGCATGAGCAGAAGCTGTGATGAAGTGCTGAAGACTTTTTTGGGGTAGAATGGTTGCAAGTAATGAGTTCAGTGTGCTGCTGTAGTTGCTATCGGGGAAAACACCCATCTGCTACACACATTTACAAACTTTTAAAGCTCTTAAGTTTTATTTTTATAAGGTACTTGTAGAGGACAATGGTTTACACAGAAAACAAGGTGGTGTTTATGGTTTGTATGCTGATTAACAGTTTCTATGTTTATCAAATACTCTTGAAAATCTTGACTAGTAAAATTATGTCATAATCGGGCCAGGTTTTATGATTCAGAGTGATTACCTTAGCCTATTTTCAGGACAAAATGTATCATTTGCGTTTGTAGGAGTGTCATGTAAGATTTCTTCACTGTATTTCCCTCATTTAAAGAATAGATATAATGACATTTGTGTTCTCTCTCAGTGGTGACAATCAGGAAATCATCTAAATCTAAAATTGTCACTCTAAATTATCTAAAATTGTCAGATCAATATGAGTGGGATAACAGGACATGTGAAAGTTACTCAAATGAATGGGGTCCTGAGATCTTTAACAAATCAGAAGTTAATAATGATCAAGGTATAGTGGTTCTAGGCTGCTTTATTCTTAAAATAATCTCTATGGGGCTTTAACATAATTTATTTTATACACAGTGATTGACACTCACCAAGCACCTTCGAAGACCTTTCCTCCACCTTGAGAAGTGCATTGAGAAGGAAAAGATCTTGTGAAAGAGGTAATTAATAATTAAAACCATTTTAAAATGGAGACTCAGCTCCTAGAACATAATTTTGTTGTAAGTTAATTTCCTACAGGACAGAAAAATGTAACCACTCCTTTTTATTATTTACACATGACTTTTCTATTTTTCATCAGCTTTATGACCATTGAAAACTCTAATACTGAAGCTGAGGAGGAGTTCTCTTATGACAAACTGCAATCTAATTCTATGGCTAAGCTGGTCCCTTTTATATATAATTCTAATACTTTTTTACAATAAACACTCACACATTACCAGCATCTGGAAGCCTTTTAAGATCTTTTTAAAACATCTTGGCATATGAAACAAGATGTAGAGAACTCATGTTTTCTGCACAGAGGTGTCAGGCTGGGTGCATGTGGAGTATTATACCTCCACACTCACCTCTTTCTCAAAATATATTATATTCAACTATTTCAAGAAGTCCTAGTCTTTCATCTCAACCCTGTTTTCAGTGAAGCTACCCATATCTTTGTGGGGAACAAGGCCTAGGTTTTCATATGAAGATACCACGCTGAAGAATGGTATGGTTTTCTGCCCCATGACATGTTATTCTCATGGGGAAAGTGAGGAAATGCTGTTGTGAGACTGAAAGTCTTCTGTCTTTTTTTTTGCCAGAAGATGGCATTAACAATTTAGGATTCCTGAAAACCTCCTCTTAGTTTTCACAAAGCCAGTTTTTTTTGATGAATTGTTTGTCTGTTACAAAAAGCATCTTCAGACATGAAGATCTCTCATCCAGGGTTGGATGAATTAAAGTATTTTATCAATAAGGAGAAAGATATCCTTTTTTTTTTGAGCATCAGTGATCGAAAGGTGAGAAGAGTTTCACTGGCAATTGCAGATTTCCCTGAGTTCTTTCATGTTTGAACCACACTAAATCTTTTAGCAATTGTCTACTCTTGAGGTTCAAAGTGATCAAAAATGCTGATTTTCTCATTATGCCAATGCCTAATTTTTTTCCTGTGGTTAATTAATTTATTCCTCCTTTATTAGTGAATGTTTTTTTTTTTTTTTCCCTAGCTTGTGAAATTCCTGTCCTGTCAAAAAGGAGTTGGTGGAGTTATCCCTGAAACCACTCAGATCCAGTAAGATTTATTCTATCTGGAAAGGCAGATCTCAAGTCTCATTAAGAGGCCAGGTCTCGTTAAGAAACCATTTAGTTGCTTTCACATGGCACAGAGCCTTAGCTAATTAGCCACAGAAGCTGCTTACATTGCTCTTTTAGGTTCTGCAGTACCTACATTACTTGGATTTTCCTAATGCCAAGAATTCTTCTGACTTGTTATTCCATATAATGACAACCTGTTATTTCTAGCTGTTTAAGTATATTTTGTTTCATTTTTAATTAGAACCTTGACCTTCAAATTTGTAATTCTCTTCCCTTGGCTGCTGTTCCTTTTTTAGAAAGTGTCTCCATTGTTTTCCTTTTTATTCTTCTTTCTCTCTCCTGTGTTCACCATTATAATTAGAACAGAGGTTATTACTGAATTAGTGTCTTTGGACACTCTGTATTTAATATAAGAATATATAGGAGATGTAGGTGTAATCTAGGATACCAATAGAGAGTAGACAAAGTAAATTTATTTGATTATTTTTGCCTTTAACAGATTCTCAACATTTTTGAGATTGGTATTTTGGCCTTGAATTCTAGTTGCTCCTTTCATCAAACAGAAGCTTCTCATGGCAGTACATACAGAGAGTTGCACCTCTGCATGTAAAACTACCTGTACTGGTTTTACACCTAAAGCTACTTTATGTAAGAAAGGGAATTTGTCCAAAATGTATTTAATTTAAGTCTCAGGTTCCTGTGTGTTTTTATATGTTAGAGAAGTTTGGCAAGTGGAGAATAGTTGTGAAACCCTTGCATACATGTGGTGTTTAGTACCCCTGCTCTCTGGGTTTGCTGTCCTCTCTGTCAGTTTTGACTTCCACCTTCCAGGATCTGTCAGTCTCAGCAGTGACTCTACCTCAGGATTCAGAATCACGTTATTTACAGATTAAATAAATTCACTTACTTGTGAATTTTTGGGTCATGTAGTTCATTGTTGTTGAATCTCATAATTTTACCTAAAGCATGGACTGTAAGTAATTTTAAATGTTCCCTACTGTACATTTGGGCCTCTGTAGTATCTTATACAGTCAGCACTTTATATATTAATCCATATGATTTTATTGTTATTATTACTACAACATAATGTATTAATTAATGACATGGACTCAAATTTGGGCATGACCTTGTTTTCTTCTATAATGTCATTGTAGAGAGCCTTGAAAAGACTCTACTCTGAACTACAGGGAGGAAAACTTAAAGGACTTGTTTTTGTTGAGTCTTACTGTGACCTCCAAACATGAGTAAGAGCAGTATTTGTTAAGGTCCTAGACTGAACAAAGATATGAGAAGGCAGTGGGCAGCAAATACTTGAAGTGCTATCATTTTTGTGTTTTATGGAAGAAGTAAAAATATCTGCAGATATTAATCCATTGGCATACAGACAGCTGCACCATGCATTGCCAGTAAGACATAAGTGAAGAAGTTGGGGGATTTGGGGCATACTTTTCAGTGATTCATGTTTCTTTTTTGGGTTTCCCAAGAATGCAAGTATTGCATTCCAGTGGCATATATAGATTTAGAGAAATGCTGTCTTTCAGATTTTGCAGAATTGGTTTTTTTTGATTTTTCTGTCAAGGACACTCAGAAATGCTCAGAGGATTCATGAAAGAGAAAGGTACACAACAAAACTGCAACTTTGCTATAGTTCCTCTGTGAGATGAATGGTCTTAATTAGGCAGCTTGAGGTGAGAACAAGTGCAATTTTTTCTCCTGTGGTTAGTTAATCAGGGGTAGCTGAACCACGTTAGACCATGTGCCTTGATATTAAATTGACTGTCTAAAATTAGGCATTTTACATTCTATAGCTTGAGGACAGGGTTTCAGTAGCTGTGGCATTCATCAAGTAGACATCAGGCGTGTAGGAACTCTGTGGCAGTGAGTAATATTGCCTTGTGCATTTCTTACATGTTGTATATTGTATGTAATTTTAAAATACAGTTTCATGGATAAAATATGTGTTTCATGTTTTACTTTATTGCTGTTATGACTATTTTCTTTAGTGTTTGTCAGTCTAGTGTATGTAAACTTGGAGTTAAACAAGCTTGTAGCCTAACTGCAAGTAATGGCATCAGGAAACGTGCAGTTTCTTAATTAGTAACTTTGTCAGATGTGGAGTTTCATGTTATTCTAATGTTTATTTTGTTTGATTTTTGTTTGTTTGTAGGCTCTACGTTGAAGATGGCATCATGCCTTTACGAATGCCTTTGTGAAGCAGAACTTGAAAAATACTATCCCCACTTGGCTGCGTTTGGTGTTGAGACAATAGATGAGCTTGCCGAGGTTGCCCTGGAAGATTACTCCAAACTGGGAGTCCATGACATAAATGACCGTAAACGTCTTTTCCACCTCATTAGAATAATCAAATACACACAAGAAGAAGGCGCTGCAAACTTAAGCAAGCAGGATTTTCAACCACATGGCCTTTTCATTCAGCCTCAGGTGACCAAGTCAGGACCCCGCAGACAGCTGCGTTTCGAGTCCTTTTGTGGAGAAAATGATGGAACAGTTAAAGACTCTGAACCGGAGTTGTATCAGTCGTCTGATTTCAGTGCCAATGAAGAGAAGGACAGTGTGGGGGAAATGCTGGGACACATCCCACCACACAATCCAGAACCGATCAGATTAACTAGAAGAGACCTAAATATTGCTGGAATAGGTACAAAAAATGACCTGAGCTGTCCAACAGTTTCTGATGATATTGCTCCTCTCCTGGGCGATTCTGAAGTTCCTATTGTACAAAGAGTAACTCATATTTCAGGGTATAATTATGGACTACCTCATTCCTGTATCAGGTAATAATCACTCACCTTTATTTTGATAATACTTCAGGTACTAACCTATAACCTACTTCAGGTACTATAATTGATTCTTTCTTAATTGTGGAGCAGAATCTGTGTTCCTCACCTCCAAATAAGCAATCCAAGCACTACAGAGCAATGCAAAGTCTTACAGACAAGAGAGATATTAATAGGCATTTCCAACTCTCCGAGTCTTATAGAAGGAATCATCTGAATTTGACCAGCTGCTACTCACCAAGGTTGTCTAAGAATAGTCTTTATTGTCTTTTAGGATTTAAGGCTTTCTTTTCTTGGTATTTGAGCCAATCTTTGTCTTTCCATGGGACTATTTTTTAAAACATTATTTTTCCAAAATACAGAATTGCCTGTTGTTAAATTTTTCAAGCTTTTCTTGGTAAAAAGGATACAAGCTTTGATGGCTATATTTGTTTATAAAGAAATTTATGAACTGAAGATTTAAAAGGAAGCAAAATGAATGCAGCTGGGAAGGGTTACAGACCTGGTGGTGAGAGGGATGCCTTGCAGCTGCTCCCTAGGCATGTGATCTGTAACTTCCATACTTTTCCCAGTGTTTGGTACCGAAGGGGCTGGGGTTATCATGAACCACTGGTAAATCTACCCTGGCAACATTTTTAAAGCAGTAATTATTTTTTTCCTGGTTCACCAGAGGCACATACGCCCCTACCCACATAATACCAGTATCTAGCTTTTGCAATGCTGTCATGGTAGTTAATATGCAATGAAAAGAGGTAGTTTTATGAAATTAGGTCTGGTCTGGGAAGGTTGTGGAGAAAGATTTGGTGTCAATTACAGCTTCCACCTGGAGTGCATGTAGTCTGGAGGGATAGATGCTGCTGCCATGGTGGAAAAGTACTAAGCTGACATAGTAACTAGAGCACTTAACTGAAAGGCAAGACAGGTTTATAACTCTCCTTAGCTGGAAAAAAAAATTCATTCCTACCTTCTGGAGAAGTGTACTAACTTCCAATATATATTGACATCTGGGTGTATTCTCTGTCTCTTCTGGAAGATGAGCCAATGTGCAACTAAAAGGACAGGATTTATAATCTTGGCAAATTAAAAAATGATACATTATTAAACCTAATGCCTCAAGTAAAGGAGTTAAATATTTTTAATCCTGCAATAGAGACATGTTCTTCATTGTTCTCTCTTTCCTTGTTCTCTTCTTTTGCAAGCACATTCATCTGTACTAAGCATTATGGCTCATCTCGTGGGCTTTCTGCATCCTCCTCCTGAAATGCCTCAACTTAATTTTCTTGTGTTTGGAGAGTTGAGCATTTCAGGCAGGCTTGGAGCAGCATGCTTACACTCAGGTTTGATTCCTGTTTTGCAAGTGCTTAACTGCTTTGCTGAATCCATCCATTCCCATGTCACCTTGGGATTTGATCACTGTGAAGGCTCACCTAATCTATGAGGAATATTGGAAAACACAGATACTATTTCAGATAGCAGAAGGACAAAGAGCTCTTTTAATATGTTGAAATTTATTTTAAACTTGCCCACAGCAAATAACTTGATTATGCAAAGACATAATTGTCCTTCTGACCTATTATTCAGTTAGATTTCTGATGATCTGTGTCATGACTGTTGTTTGACTTTTTTTCCTAGTAATGAAACATTGTTTTATTGTAAAATACAATTTATATTTTAAAAGAGTTAGTAAGAAATACAAACTTTGGGTTCAGCATGTAGAATTAATGTGCATTCTATTCCCATACAAAATAAGCTCAACAAAAATGTTCCTCTGTACTAGAAAAAAATTATTTATTTTTTCTCATTACTGAGTCTCTAAATTTTCAGGGATTTTTTTCTCCAAATACTGCAATCCTTTCTGCTTCAAGCTCTTAGAGCACAACAGGCTCTTGCTGCAGGTCACCAATTATGCCCTCTGGCACCAGAATTAAACTTCAGAGCTTCTGATCATTTGTTGGATAACATTTGGTGCCTAGTGATATGCATAAGCTCACACCAGCTTATGGAGCATCTTATTTCAAGTGTCATTGCTTTTCTTTTCCGACAAAAGAATTTTCCATCTAAATGCACAGCCTGATCCTGGACTGCATGGGAAAGCTGTACTAAAATTAAAGGGAGTCTAGTGACAAATGAAGAATGCTCGTGTGGGGTCTTCAAAGACGTATCTTGAGATTTAAAGTGCATCTCATGTGCTTCTAGGGAATCATGGAGGGAACAGCAATGATACCACAAGCATGTGGATGTTAATGAGATGTTGAGTAGCTTGTGGGTTACAGTTTGTTGGACAACTGGTATATATGAGTTTTCAGTTGCTATGCTAAGAGATTTTGGCACCTGGACAGTGTGGCAGAAACACTGCTTTTGGGCAAGTTGGGGCTTGATTATTTGAAATGCAAATCCAGGCTGAAAATTGTTACTGATTTGGCTGAAGACAGCTTGAAGAAGGGAGAGATATATTGAATACACTTTGGTTAATTCAAACCTATTCTGTTCACAAAATGCTGTACGCAGCAGGTTAATCAATGAAACATGAAATCACCTCCTGTGTATGAGGTGTCTGGAAGGGGACTAAAGTAAAATTGCTGAAACATCAGAGCACAACTTTGTTTATGGTCTAAAACCACATAACCCTTTTATGAAAAAAGACCAAAGGGGAGGCAAGGATGAGATCAGTATTTTTCTTTTTTGAGCTAAATAGGAACATGGTGATACTATCTGATTTGCCAGTTTGAGTCATTTACTTGTAACCAGTTGGACAGTCTATAATGGGAAGAAAAGAGTCCAACATGAGAGGAAGAGCAGCTAAGTATTGTATCTTTTCCTTTTCAAGATCTATTCATATTTTCGTTGTACATGATTAAGTGATTAGTCATGAGTGCAAATAATTGCACAAGATTAAATTTAATTTCATTAACTTGGATATTATGTCAGCTTCCATCTCATGTTTGTGTACAACTGAAAATATGTCAGTCCAGCAGCAAGTACAGGAGTGTAGCTGTACAAACATAACTATTCCTTTAACAGAAATGTACAGGAAGCATTGGTCTGTTTAGGAAAAATCATCAGAAACTGCATCATGTAAAAATGAGGTGTGTTATGGAGTTTTTTGATAGGCATTAAGAGCAGAAACATTCTGTGGTAAATGTAACAAATTCAGGCGTATTTTAGATTCTGTTGTAACTTGATTTTAAAATGTTGTAGATCCATTACTCCATTATTGTTGTAGATCCAATACTTTCGACAAAGAGACTCCATGGACAGAGAGTGACAAAATCAGAGTGTGTGTCCGAAAACGTCCTCTCTGCCTGAGGGAGGAGAGACGTGGGGAGGCAAATATAATCACAGTGAAAGATCAGGAAACCCTACTTCTGCACGAGAGGAAGGAGGCAGTTGATCTTACACAATACATTTTACAGGTAACATTCTCCATTGAAGGTTGTGTTTATGGGCCAGTCACTTGCATGGAAGGGTAAAGCTGGAGTTTCCATGAGGGAAACCAGAAAAGGGCTATTAGTATTTGTTATACTGAAATGGGTGGTGGGATTTTGATTTAGCTCAGAGTTGTCTATATTTGAGTTGCTTCTGATTTATGCCAGACTGTGCCAGCAAAACTGAGCCCAGAATTCTAAGGTCTAGAAGTATGTCTCTTGGAACTTTGTATGTGGCAAAATAAGCCCTCTGCTACATGCCGTTGCTGCAGGAGAAGTACCTGCTGATGGCTTTCCAGGTACTTCAGTGAGGAGTTCCCTTTCACTGTTTAAGCACTGTAGGTCTCTTTCAATGAATCATACATACTGTTATCCCCTCCCTTCCATTTTTCTCAAATGCTTTTGAAAATGAAGTTCCCTTTTGTCTTTGTCTCTTAATCCCAAATACTTTGTGCTGTCATAGTTCAAATTCTCACTTGTGACTGACAGACAGCACCAGGAACAGAACTGATTGGTAGAGGCAGCAAGCTATTCTCACTCAGCTGAGTGTTATTTTTACAATCTGGGCCCTAGTAACAACTGTTTGAAGTATCTGGTAAAATTTCAGATCTCTCTCAGGCCCAGTTCATGTGCCACCTTTTACAGTGGGACACATGCTGAATCATTTCCACAGACCCTGCTTCTTTGAGTCTGATCTGGAGTGTGGGAAGTTTTTATTTTCTTGCTCCCTTTTGAGTTCAGACAATGTCGCTTTGCTTAGGAGCAGCTTCTTTCTTCTCTGGCACAAAACTTTTTAAGAACAGAGGCAATTAATCACAACTAAGTCACAAGTGAGAACTAATTTTGAGAGAGTCAAGAGTTGACTCTCAGTTCTTTTTACTGTTACAGTCTGACAGTACCTCTGTAGACTGATTCATTTCATGAATAGGTTTTCTTTAATTAGCTTTTTTTTTGTTTCTTGTTAAAAGGCTCTGGCATGTTATGCTTCAGAGTGATGGGAAATTGAGGCATTTTTATTTTCTTTTTTTTTCCCCCTACCCTGAATCTCTTGACTGGTGTGTTCCTACATGATTTGTGCTGCATATTAAGTGTGCTAGATCACTCTCTACCTAATCCTGAGCTGTATGAAGTCACTGGAAAGACTTTCATTATTTTATTTTACCTTTGAATGGAGTTGGAGGGGAAGTGAAACATATTCATGCTCATGTAAAGATTTTTTTTTTTGTTTTTTAGCATGTTTTTTGTTTTGATGAAGTCTTCGAGGAGTCATGTACCAACCAGGATGTGTACATGAAGACAGCTTATCCTCTCATTCAACATATTTTTAACGGGTAGGGCATCAGTGCTTACATTGGTTACTTTTTGTTTTGTTGTTTTCCAATTTTATGGCTATGCCTGAATTTTCCTTTATGCTTTTCATCTTTTGAAATGTACCTTCATTTCACGTTTGCCACATGCCTTCCCCCTTTCAGAATATCTTTGATTGCAATTTTGACAAAAGTAAATCAAGGAAAACTTTCTTCATGCTAAGTGACAAATCTCAATTACAGAAGGTGGTTAAATTGAACTCAATTGCAATAACGTGACAGCATGGTCAGGCTAGAATAAAAACGTGCCCCAGGATTTCTGAGCTCTCATCTTCACTCTAACAAAGGCTCCTGTGTGGCAGTGCACACTCATCTGTAGAGAAATAGTGTTACCTCTTTCCTGAGACTACTGAGAAATATTTTTACATGTATTTGTACAGTTCACAAGGTAATAGAAATTATGAATAACCTTGTGATTTATTTTTGTTGATTTATATTTGCTTAGAGGTTTAATTGTAATTACATACTTCCTGATTATTGGAAAATTTATGGTGGCTTTACATGAGGCATCTTATTGCTATGCAAGGTTATATATATATATAGAATATATACTTGAATATAATTACTTTGAGTCTTTGAAGTAAAATATGACCTATCCATACTGAAAATTAACAAAATGGAGCATTCTGTTACTGAAAATCTCTGTCATCAACAGAGACCGAGTATCATGCTTTTGAGAAAAGGAAAGTGAGAACGGAGAATGAGGCTTGTACCTTGCTGGGTAATAATCACTAAAGCCACAATTCTGCTAGTCCAGTAATGCCACCAGAAGAAATTATGCTGGTTTTTTCCCAGCTTTCCCCTTACTTTTCCACCCCTCCTGCCAGCATTCATTTAATCTGATGCCATGGTGAGGCCAGTCTGCAATCTAAACTGGCAAGAAATTGTTTGCTGTGATTATTGCAGCCCTACATTTTTACCCATTCCTCTGCCAGGAGTATTGAGCCAGGTGCAAAATCTTTTTTTTTTTTAAAGGGACAGGGAAAGGAAAGGAAAAGAAAGGAAGAGAGCCAGCACCTTGTGCTACATCAGATCTCTACTTGGAAATCATTGTTAAGCATCCTGCATTTTCCCAGAGAGGGCAGCAGACAAACCTCATTGCTAAGGGGCTGCTATAGATAGATACCAGCATTGCAGAATATTATTTAATAGATATGAATGAATCAGATGTGTCACTAAACACATGTGCTGTCTTCACAGAGGCAATGCAACTTGCTTTGCATATGGGCAGACTGGTGCTGGCAAGACTTACACCATGATAGGGAATCACCGGACCCCAGGGCTCTATGCCCTGGCTGCCCAGGACATCTTTAGGTACCTGGAAGCATCACCATCCAGGAAAGAGCAAGTGGTTCTGATCAGTTTTTATGAGATCTACTGTGGACACCTTTATGACCTGCTAAATGGAAGGCAAAGGTATGATTTCCTACAAGCCTGTGGTTGTGAATCATTTGGTTATTGTTTGGAAATCAATTCCTGTTTTCATGTGATTACATTTAACATACTAGCATTTACAGTAAATGTTATATATTTGATTCGGGGTTCTCACAGAAGATACTTAAGGAGGATAGCAACATCTGACAGTAGGTACTGTGACATTGACAGGGACTCCTGGTTTATTGTTTTGGAGAAAAATAAGGGCTTAGGTTTGAGATACAAGCTCAGGCTCTTGCTTACACTGTAATAAGATAATAGCTGGACATCCATGGGAAGAGAAACTAGCTTCTTGTGGCCAGAAGTTCCTGTCTTAAAATCATAGAACATTTTGAGAAGGAACCTTAAAGATCATCTTGTTCCACCCCTGCTGCCCTGGTCAGGGGCAACTTCCACTAGACCAGGTGGCTCCAAGCCCCATCCAACCTGGCCTTGAACATTTTTGGGCGTGGGACATCCACAACTTGTTTGGACAGCCTGTCATGTGTCAACCATTGTGGAGTCCTTGTCTTTCCCTGGTCAAGCATAAACTGTGGCTGTCCCTCCTGCTGTGCCAGTGGAGATTTGGCTCTTGCCAATCCAGTCTCTGAAGATCCTGTTGATCTCCTAAGTGCTGGACTCTGTAGAGCCAGCTCACCTTCTCCCTGGGCACCTTTGCCTGGCAGCCCAGTGACTCAGCCCAGCAAGCCTCTGGAGGTCATGCTGAAATATGACTCTAAGGCTGTAGGAGCTGCTTTAAAATCCTGTGCAAAAAACATTAGAATATGAATAGAACAAAATTTACAGATTGATGAGGACTTAGAGGAGCCTGAGATGTAGTTTAAAGGGAGACAGGAACTCTAACATGTAAACACGGTAATTTACTTCCCTGCTTTATTACGTTCTTGAACTAGCAGAAATGCATTGGTAATGTCTCTTTAGCAGTGAAATGTCAGTGGTACTTGTTTTAAATTAAGTACCTCTTCAGCTCTGAAAATAAATTAATGACAGCAGGGCCTCTCCCCTGTCAATAGCCCTGATTGCTTTTTCTCAGTGTCACAGCACAGACGTGTGTTTTCATTGCTGGTTTCTAAGATTTCAGATATCTTCTTTTTTACACTGTTCTCCTGTCAGGCTTTTTGCAAGAGAAGATGGCAAGCACGTCGTTCAGATAGTTGGACTGCGGGAGGTTCAGGTGGATTCTGTAGATGAGCTGTTGGAGGTAATGTTTGGGATTTGTTCTTTGTCTTCTGCAGCCCAATTTGCTTATTTGTGAGGTGTGTCACTTACAGAGATTATTTACTGTGTAGCACAAGTGTATGTTCCTGTTTAAGGCCCTGAAATTGGCAACTCCAGCAAGGCACCAAGGGGCTCAATTAAAAATGTCTTTATTCATTAAGCTGTTTCTTGTGTTAGCCATCTGCTAACAGCTGTCACTTCTGCTGCCTTTCCATAGGGAAAGATTCCAGAAGTTAAATAGTGTCCCAGTAAGGGACCTTGAAAGCTGGATATGTATTTTCTCCCAGTGTGGTGTCTCGTGGGTCTATGAACTTAGGTTTTTGTATATAAAAGATATGTGGTTTTTGCACAGAATATATAAATTTGAAAATTATTAGGAACAGACATTAGAAAATACTTAAGATTGAGATATTTTGTCTGAATTAGGATTAAAATGCTGCTTATGTGTGTGCATGATAACAGCCAAGTAAAATTAAGATTTTTAAGCAGTAGCTTAAACATTTTTAAACATTCACCAAGAACAAGGCTTCAGTTTTCTTCCCTACCTCTAAAAGGACACTGGCAAATTTTCTGTATTGTCTTGCAGCAAGCAAGTTGATTAAATCTACTTTGTATTTAGCCTGACTTTGCATAACTTAATTCTTTTTTTTATTTTTATAAGGAAGTGTCAATTACAAGTGCCTGATATAGTAACTGGCTCATTAAAATTGTCATAGTGTTGTCCACTGATATTGCACTCAATTTAGTTGTTCATCTTCCCATTGACTCCAAGCTTCAGGACAAGCTGGTGATACTTCTGCAAGTTAGGGTGCAAATTTACTACATGGTTGATTTGCAATTCCTTGGTATTATCACATTCCACACACAGAAGAGCTATTAAATTACTTAATTTTTAGAGATATCCCGAGGGGAAAAAATACATTGTTCACAGGCCATTTTGAACACAGAAATGCCACTGGATTGACTCAGAACTTCTGAGTATTCTGCAACAGATATATGGAAATATATCATATGGAGCTTTGAATGCATCCCTGGTTAGTCACTACTCATTGATGTTGGCTTTGATTCAGAAATTGTCTTCACTTAGCACTGATATAAAGCTCAGAAGCTGCACTGGGTGGTTATGTTGCTCATTGAGAACTGGCCACTGAAAAGCATGAATAATTCACATCTATCAGCTGAGAATGTATTGATTTTACTAGGCAATATTTTGATTTGTTCTTGCAGCTAGAAGCAAAATTAATGGCTTTTCTATGAATGCCCTGCTGCAGTCAATGTTAGACTTTCTGCAACAGTCCTTAAAAGTTTTCAAAAAAGAATTATCCAGATTTGTATCTTGAAGGAGCCTTTATCTTTCTGCCTTGCCTTCCTTCCTTGTTTTCTTGTTTCACTGTTTTGTTGAGAATAATTAATCTTTTAGTTTGTTCCTTACTCTGGCATAATTTTATTTTTAGTTTTGGAAATATAGAAAGGTTTTGGCAGTTCATAAATTTATATGTGACTTTCTGGATAACTGTAGTCATCTACTACATAAGAAAGTAAAATTTTAAAAGAACACAAAAAATAGTCAAACTCATAAGTCTCTTAGATTGTATCTGTAGTACTAGAAAAGTATGCCAGCAAAATAAGAAAGAATTTAATTTTATAATTTTAATATTTTGCAAATACGAGTGAGTGTCTGCAACAGATTGTTACTAGCAGTGTAACTCTTTAAGCTTTGTATAATCACTAGAAGCAAGTCCATGCACAAAGCTCTGAAAGAAATATTGGAAGGGATCCAGTCTACCTCTACTGCCTTGCACCAAATCTTAAGGCTGTAGTGCACCTTTCCTCACAATGTTTCCTCACCTTAGGAGGACAAGATCTCTTTCTGAGAGATTGTGGTTTTATTTACAATTCATTTTGTCCCCCTTATTTTGCAGGTGATTTTGAAGGGAGGAAAAGAACGTAGCACAGGAGTTACTGCTGTCAACTCAGATTCCTCTCGGTCTCATGCTATCATCCAAATTCAAATTAAAGACACAAGCAACAGGGCATTTGGGAGGTAAGACTGGAAGCAGAGGTGTTCAGTGCTGATGTCAAGCCCAGGGACATCCAAGAGACAAAGAGGAGGTGTTAGTGCACAAGTGTGAGTTAAATTAGAAGATGGGGTTAAAATAGACTACAAAAAGTTCCACAGTCCTTTCTCTGTTTCCAAGGAGAATGTTTTAGGCACATCTGCAAGAGCTTTGTCAAAATTGTTCATGCAAATTTCCAGTGAAGGAGTTTGACAATCAAATCCATCCCCTCATCTTCAGTGTTTAATTTGGCTATAGGTAGACACCTGCAGTGTACTTATCCACATGTGAACTCACCACCTTTGAAGTCAGTAGAATGAAGTTGCCATTTCTGGGATCTCTGCAGTAAATTATGTCAGGTGCATTTTCCCCTCAAAGCATTTCTGTCCTGTAATTGACTACAAAGGGAGTGTGGGATGACCAGCCCAGGTGGAGATGATTCCACAACAAATGTTTGCCTTTGGCCAGAAGAATCAGAGTACCTCACATAAACATCCATGATAATTTGAGTGTGTGACTCTGATGCTATCTGCAGCAGACATAAAGAGCAGTTTACTTACACTTGTGGCACCCACTGTATGTATTCAAAAATGAATTGTACCTCTTTCAGTCATCTTTTCTCCATAGTAAACAACCTCAAGAAATAGGTCTGAGGAAGAATGTCTGTGCATCTGCATTACTGCCAAGTATCACAAAATCCTGCTAACACCTCCTTCCATTAGCTACCACACTGTCTTCTTTCCCAGGATCTAATTTTGAGCATAAGACAAAATGGGGGGGCCACAAACACTGAAGAGAGCAAAAGACAGAACAGGCAGGCTTAGAAATAAAAGTATAGAGGTTTATGTAGGTGTGGCATTTGAACTGGGGGGGGTTGTGTGTCTGAAAGGGAGGTGGAGCTGAACTGAGGGAAGGGTGCCAATATGTGCCGATAAAAAAAGTCAGGGGTGTTACAGAAAAAGAGAAAGGACAAAGATACAGTGCCACAGTCAGTACAGCAGCTGGCACCCAGAGCTGGGGAGTGTGAAAGGGAGTAATGGAGTTCTGTGGAAAGAAACAGCAGGGATCACTGAAAGCTCAGTGTATTACTTGCTACACTGGAAATTTCTGTTCCTGTTGTCCTGAATTTCCATTTGACATGGCAGTTGTCTGTTTTACTTGGAAGGAGAAATCAAAACATTTACAATTTCTTTTAGCCCTGTTCTTAGGAAACTGCACACACAGTGATTATCTGGAAAGATGAATGTGTTGCACTTTACAGAGCTTATCCATTAAACTGTGGAGCACTGTCATCACATGTAACTACACTTTATATTATTTAATGTTAAGATGCTCTGACACGGTTCCTGCTCATATGCTTATTTTGGTATCTCAGATATTTCCAATGGATGTTTCCTGTTGTTCAAAAGTAGTTATTTCTAATCACTCTTCTAATGCCATGTGTTTCAGCCTGCTGGTTAAATAAAGAAAAAAAGAAGAGGGGAGAAAAGCCCCTAAGATAAATGCAACTTTGTTTTTTCTAGGATATCATTCATTGACTTGGCTGGCAGTGAAAGAGCAGCTGATGCCAAAGAAAAGGATCGACAAACAAAAATGGAAGGAGCAGAAATAAACCAAAGTCTTTTGGCAGTAAGCTACTATTAAGTCTGGGGAAAGTTTTGTATTTAATTACTAGCATGTGTTTTAGGATAAAAATGAACCACAGAATAATGTATGCATGTATTCCATGGAGAGGAAAAAATAACCAAGGTACTAAGTGTGTTCAGTTTAATATGTCTCATGACTGAAAAACAATTTAAGAAGGAAGAGATATCCTTATAAAAATTAAGTATTTTTAATCCGTTCTTACTGCCAGACAGGTAAACATAGCATGGACAATGTTAGGTGTCGTATAAGTGTCCCACATTTAATATAGAAGGTATTGGCCCTTCTAAAGAATACTGGCTTGGAATTGCCATGTTTGTTTAATGAAAGCATATCTGTTCCTGCCAGTTATTTTTACCACTTAGGCTTCTCTTTCAAATCAGGAATAAAGGACTTAAGAGCATAAAAACGATCAATTTATGTGTGGGGAGAAAGGAACAGGAAGAAATGCACTCCTGAGGCAAAGTGTCTTTTTAAGTGTCCTTAGTCGGGCAAAGAGGGACAAAGGAGCAGAAAAATGCCATCTAAGATAAAGCAGAAGTGCCTAAAAGTGTAAATGCTGCAGAAAGGTTTGCACCTCCTCTAATGCAAACAAGCAGGGCTCAGTGATGACTGTGGGCTTCTCTAAGCCAGGCTGAAGGTGATTTAGGTTCCAGGGTAGGAGCCAGCAGAGCAGAAGTCTGCACACAGCTGTACCTCTTAGTGTGTTGTAAATAGGAGGTAGCTTGCTCTGCTTTGGGAATGTAGATGCTGTTTTGCACAGAGGCTCTTCCTGCACTGGAATATTAATATTTGTGCTGGGGAGGTAGCCTGAGAAGTGAATGTGTTTCTGTACTTCATGCTTTCTTGAGTACTTGCTGGTGAATAACTGAGTGTCATGGGGAGTTGGTACCTCTATAGAAAGAAGTCTGATCTTGAAGGTCTGCTCCAGCCTAAACAATGGTGTGATTCCCGAGAATCCTAAGCCCATGAAATTCTTTTAAAAGAAACTGTAAAATCAGAGTCTGTACATTTTTGGTATTATGTGAAGCTAAGAAGTTACCTGGACAATCTACAAGTAGTGACTGAATTAAATATAAAAAACAGCTTTGGGTAAATCTTTGTAACCTGCAACCTGTAAAACATAGCTCTGGCCTCAATGATCATAACACTCTGTTCAGACCTTTTAACCCATGAAATCTCAAGTCTGTTGCTGGTTGGAATATTCATGTTTTCAAGTGGAAGACTTTCAGACACTGCAACTATGAGAGCCAGACTAAAGAATTACAATAGTTTAATCTCTTACTTGTTACAGGTGCAGTTTTTGATAAAATGCTATGAAAGTGAGAATAAGTGCCATTTTCAGTGGGAGTTTGTAAAATGTAGAAAGGCTGTAAATACTTGATGGCAGTATCACCATGACAATACTGTAATCTGCTATCTCGAGAAGAAAGAAAATAAGAGAGGTAGCTCAAAAAGCTCTGTCCTTTGGGTACACCTGCCCTGCAAGCTGCAGCATAGTCTAGGCTACACCCAGTCTGGCTTCAGACTAGCTAGATGTAGTGCAGGCAGCAGCTCTGTGGAGCTCCATGTGTGCTCAATGTGTGTGCTTGCTCCTTGCATCTGGTGCTGCCCACGGGGCCCTCAGGCAGGGCACAAATTGACCTTGCAAGGGACAGCACACAGTAGGAGTCAAAGTGACACAGGATCTGGGTAGGCTTGGTTTGATGTTGTTCAAATCCTTGCCAGTGCATGACTGATCTGTTTTCCTCTTCTGTTTTTTCTTTCTTTTGGTAGCTAAAGGAATGCATTCGGGCGTTGGATCAGGAACAAGTGCATACTCCTTTCCGGCAAAGCAAGTTAACTCTGGTAAGATGAGCAGAAAGCAAGAGGAGAAGTTTCCCTGCTGAGGACAAAAATAAGCAAAAAATCAAATAAATAAATAAATAAATAAATAAATAGATGGCATAGTTCAGTAACTGCTTCCTCTCTTGAGGAAGAGAGGAAATGCATAGCTTTTGTAAATTTTAATTTTAAAGGTAATTGCAGAATTAAAGTCAACTGCCAATTTCCTCCAGCCAACAGTGGGGACTGGCATGGGAAAAAAAGAAACAAGCCAAGAGCTGAAACCAAACAAAACCCCAAACACCACCTTCTAGACTCATACAGAGTTACTATCCATCTCCCCACAGTCTGAATACAATCCTGCATCTTCTATTCCATTACTGTCCTGGGAGGTTTCATCAATAGTTCTTTACTTCAGTTGTAACTTTTGCTTTATTCCTTAAACTGTATTGGCACCCTTGCAGCATCTGGAACAAGGGCTTGTTTAGAGCTCTAATTAATACCTGCATTCATTTTAAACTATAAACAAATAAAGGCAAGAAAAACTAAGACAAGAGGACTACATTTATCAAAAAAATTAAAAAGCCACTACCTCATGTTGAACTTCTTCTGTAGATATTGTTCATTTACAGGATGTACAGGAGACATGAACTACTAAGAACCCAATTTCTTTTTCCTTCAAACTCTAGGTGCTGAAAGACTCTTTCATTGGCAATTCCAAGACATGTATGATAGCCAATGTTTCACCAAGCAACCTAGCTGCAGAGCACACCCTGAACACTCTGCGATATGCTGACAGGTAGGAGGTGAAACTCAGTTCTTGCCAGGGTGAAAATCACAAAGTAAAAAGAATGTATGATGTTTGCCATTACATTTTATTATAGTTGAATTGAAAAGGTTGATTTAGGCAAGAAACAGAATCTTTAAAAAGTTAATAAAATAGTTTCTTATTCCAACTCTTATATTTTGTCTTAAATTTTTTGGGTCTTGTAAGTACTTTCTGATGGCCGCTTTCAGTGATGAAAATATCAGTGTGTGCCCCGTAACTGCAGGATTACTGACCTTAGCAATCAAAAGTTTTGATTTAGTTTTGTATTTTGATTCTACTTCGAATGTGTCAGCCTCCCTCCCACAGAGCAGGAAGTAAATTACAAGCTGTGCAGTGCTGGTTTTAAAAGGACCAGAGACAACTTGAGGGGCAAGAGGAGCAGAGGGAGGGAGCAGCTGAGGGTCAGGGTGGTAGGCAAAAGGGTGATACCAGTCAATCATTTCTTCCAGCTGTACTGCTGAGTCTGATCCAGGAGCAGACTCGCCTGAGCTATGAAGCCTCACTGCAACTTCAAAAGTCCTGCTTTGAGCCTGTGCTGTGTAGGACACTAGCTGGTTCTGCTGCATTATGATGTGTGGAAATGCACTTGCATTGAAACTGAGGCCATTTCCACTCACTTGACCCATTTTGCACTGCTCAAGGAAAAGCTTAAAAAGACTGCTATAGATTTTTCCAAAAGTCCAGGAATTTTAGCAGAACGGTTTTGATACTTGTGAAGATCAGAGACAGAAAACAAACCACGATGTTGAATTCAATATTTAGTCTTAGTATGTGAAAGCATTAGTTTGTTCTGAAGATGCTGTTATTTATCTGAAAGCCTGACATCTTCTAAATCCAGCCTCTTTTTTACAGGGTCAAAGAGCTGAGGAGAGGGATTAGATACCCTGCCCCTGTCACAAAAAGGCGTCGCAAAGCTGGAACTGTATCTCCAAGGCTTATCCCAGGCTCTCCCTTTCTGCCACCTGGGGAAAAGAGTTCTCCAAAGAAAGTGAAGCTAGGCCTACAGCATCCCTCAAGTGCTGCAAAACCAAAGGCATATCCTGCAACACTCCAGCCACCTGGTGTCCCTCTCACCTCTACCCCCAAGGGAACTGGCAAAGGACATGCCTACATAGAAGATACCAGCACTCCCTGCTTCCACCACACCACACCAGTTAAGGGAGTCCTAGAAATAACACATCCCCTGAAGAAAAGTTACCTATCCCCCCTCCCTGAAAAGAGTTCCTCAGTGGAGGATTTCATTGCCAAAGAAGAGAGTAGCCAGCAAGACAAGTATATGCAAAACAGAACACCTGTCCAGTGCCTGAAAGTTCAGACAGTGCAACCTCTTCAGAAACAATTTGTTCCTAATGACGATAATTCCTCTGGAGATGGCAATCTCCAAAGCGAACAGGAATGGGGAAATGCTTTTGCTAAACAGTCTGTTGAACCGTGGACATATCTGCCTCCATATCAGAAGGAAAGGGAAGAGCATTTACGTCTTTATCACCAGCAGTTTCAGCAACCCCCTATTCTAAAGCAAAAATTGAACTATCAGCCCCTTGAAAGGTTTTTAATGCAGTACAAGCCCGAGGAGATTCAATTGAAGCAGGAGCTGAGCCTACCTCCAACTGAAGGGCAGAGCAAAGAGTGGATACAGCAGGAAGATCTGGATGACAGTGATTTCAGTGAAGATTCTTTCTCACCTGTCTGTAGTCAAAAGAGTGTGAAAAGAGAAAATAGCAGCAAATCCAGTCAACATTCATTTTTCCTTCATGAAAGAGAGCAAGGAACCGAAGAGGAACAAAAAGGCCAAAAGCGGCAGGATTTATTTTTTAAATATTCAATACCCACGGAAGATCACAGATTAGATGACAGCTGGGATTGTAGTGAGGGCCGTTCAGCAGTAGAGGAACCCATTAAAAATGCAGGCTGCAGCAAAACTCCAGCAGACTGGAGCTATGACTTAGCTGAATTCCCTCCCAGCAATACTGCAGAAAAACCTTACTGTCTGCAGGAAGATCCTGCTTGCAGCTGGAGAAATGGCAAGGACTTCCTAGCTGATCACAAAGACAACAAGTCCAAACACAAACGTCTTGTTTACTCCAGTGAAGCCACCTTAACTCCAGAAACAGATGCTTCAACCCCGTGTGTATCTCCTGTATTGAAATCAGGAACTCCAGAGTGCAAAGAATTTGATCTCCAGCCTGAGGAGAAGGAAGAATCCACACTGGCTAAAAAGGCTACCCTTGTAGGAGGAGACGTAAATTGGAAAGCTCAAAAAAATGGAGTCAGCCACTACGTTTCCTCCAGCTGTTCCTCAGACTTCACCTCTGAGCTCATGACCCCGCCCCGGGTGTCATCTCTTGATGGTGAGGACACAACTAAAACAGAGAAAGCAACTTCCAACCAAGAGCAGCCCCACAGCGAGAAGCAGGTGCCAGACAGTGACACCCAGACCAGCTTTGAGGACGAGGGCTGGCAGTGCACCAGGAGCAGATCCATGACCGACAGCATGCTGGAGCTGGCGGAGCAGCCCGGCCACGGGGAAAGGCTCTGTGCCCTGCTGGGCTCCTCTCAAGCCAAGAACAAGAAGCTCCCACCCACCTGCGGCCGTGTGAAGCCATGCTGCTGCCACCTGCGATCAGTTTTGTCCAAGCAGGGGGTCCGGCGCAGTTTGTTTCTTGAACGTGACCCGACAGAAACATCCACAGCTGGATCCCCAGCTGGATCCGCCGTCCCTGGGCCAGAGACCCCCTCTCAGGAGAGCAGCCGGCTGCAGCAGCCCAAGCCAGGAGCGAGGAATGAGGACCTCACCCATTTTGAAGACCCTGCCAAGTCATCGTTCAGCAATGAGGAGACAGGGTTGCTTAAAAACAAGTCAAAGCAGAGTATTTTTACACAGGAGACTTTTGCTGCAGATGCAGGATTTGTAACCAAAGATAATAAGCCAATAGCAAATGCAAAATGCCCCTCACAGCTGTCCAGCAGCTGTTCTCCACGTGCTGCATCAGAGATGGGGAAACGGCAGAGGGAAGCCCTAGAAAAGGCACAGTAAGTCTTGCTTATCATGAAGTTTGTAGTGAAACTTAGGAAATCTGGACATGTGATACATTTGCGGTTTTTTGTATGTCATACTCCTATGTACTTAAAAAACCAATGGTTAATCGTTCTATTAAATAATTATAAGATTCATCAGAATTTACAGTAATTATCTTAAAAATATATTGTTGCTTTTATTTAGACATATTTTAAAATCTCACAGGAAGCCAATTATTATATTGTTCTAGGATAATGCTAGAGGAATAAATATTATAATACAAACTACATTAAATGGCTTACTATAAGCTGTAAAGTACCTAAAACATATCAAAACCTTCCATCAAGAATCAGGTTATAGCTGTTTCATCAATGAAAAGAAAAGCTGCTAGGGCAGCTGAACAGTCACTGAAGATGTAGATATAAAGCTTCTGAGTACTCTGAGCTGCCAATGTCAGCTCCCAGGGACTGGGCTGCATTCCCTTGACTGAAAATACATTGTTGGTCAGTGGAACTTGCTCAGAGGAATCAACACAGCACTGCCTTCCTGCTCAGCCTGTTTCTCACTGGAATTACTTACACACTCATGGCCATAAACCATTTCACCTATTGATTAGACACAATAATTAGTTGTGCTCCTTGATTCTCCTACAGTGAAAAGCAGTTGTGTGCTGCCTGTGCTAAGGTGGGGCTGTGGTCACTCGTCTGTGAGCAGCCCTCAGTCACCCAGCTCATCCTAAAGCCCACACCAGTGCAGTCCAATACACTTCATGGAGCACTGGTGTGCCCTTCCTGAGAGCCAGGGACACAGGACAGCAAGGCTTCCTCTGGGGTATTCCTCTTTTTGAAGGTTTATTTAGGCCAGCTGTGATTACAAGCAGTGATTACACTACAGGCTGTGTAACCAGTGTGTGTTTTTTGTTAATCAGAAAGGCTCTAATTCGTGCTCATCAGCAGCAGCTGGATGAACTGGCACACCTGTGCTTCAAAGAGGAGTGCTTGATAAATCAGATGTCAGCAATGGTAAGTGTTTCAAATGATGGTTTTGGTGGCCATTGAGCTTGCATAAATTAATCTTAGAGATATTAACTTGAATTGGTGATGTGCTGTTCCTTGTCAGTTCAAGCCCTTCTCCAAGGTCTGTCTTAGTCCTGGGAGAGGCCTCTCATTTTCAGTGCCTGCTGTGTTTGCCACTCTCCACTCTGACAGGCCTTGGGGAGCAGGAAATGGATGGGCCAACCCTGAAGCCCTTGTCTCTGATAAAAGAGCCTTCTCTTATCTCACATCAAGGGGCAGACTGTACCAGACAGGCCATCTGTCCCTGTGATGTTTTAGTTCTTACAGGCTGGGACAAGGAAGCCAACCCCACAGAACAGAGCCCACCCCTAGGGCAGGACACTGGTGGGATTTGGCTCTTCCCTCTGGAAGCCTCTTTGCCTCTCACACTGCAGGTGTGCCAACAGCCTGGGCCTTGCTTACTCCAGTGTTCTGACCACTGTGGCTTGTGCCTCACACACTCTTGGCTTTGATTACTCAAGTGTTTCTTGGCTTGTTTTTGCCTCAGATGACAGTGGTGTACCCTAGACCTAAAAACTGGCACCTGCATGCTCCCACTGCTACCTGGGCAATCCCAGTTCTTTGTTTCTCCTGTATCCCAACAGATGCCTGTCACACCTATGTGAAAACCCAGACTATGAACATTTTCCAGTGAGAACTTCTGCCTTCCCTGTTCCCTCTGCTTCTCAGTAAAGCCAAGCTCCATTGCTGCATTGCATTATCAAACCATTTCAATTCCTGTCACAGTTCAGATCCGAAGTACAGGGGACTCTTCCCTCGGGGACTTTGGAGTGAGGCCACCATGTGGCTTATTCACTGTGACTTCAAGCTGCATATGCTGTTTTACAGATAACAAACAGGTCATAAAGCATCACAGGAGACATAAACTGTATTCGTTTTGTGGCAGACAATGCAGTGAAACAAAGCTATCTTTCATCTTCTTAATTTTTTTTATCTTTGAGATTGTTCTTCTTAAGTCTGTTAGTCACTGGGCACCAGCTCTCCCCCCGCATTTATTTGCCCCTTGCAGCAAGCAGTTATTTTCAGGCTAGCAGAATTTTTACAAGCTTGCCAGGCCTCCCAGCAGTGCGTGAATAACATACCCTGTAGTTTTATTTCACAGCATGACCTTCTTTGGGTAATGAAATGTGCTTGGGCTTCATGCATCAGCTTCTCTCCTTCCATTTGCAGATGGTTTCAACTTCTCCAGCCATGAAACTTTGTCTGCAGGAGAAACTCCTGCCAAGATCAGACGCACACTGAACAAAGCAATATTTAAAGTGTTTAAGAAAAATATGCCACAGCAGCTGGGCTAGTCTTCATCGCTGTCCTGATTTCCCTGCAGGACAGAGATGCAGTGCAGGAGATAGAGCTGGAGTACTGCCAAATAAGCTTTTGCATGATTGATTTTCATACACAGCAGCTGAATTTCCCAGCCCTGGGGAAGCTGACACCTCCCAGCTTCTCCGGCACAGACCTGCGAACAAAATAATCAAACTACTCTCAGCTGGAGAGCCAAGCACGTCCAAGTACTCCCTTACTAATACAAGCCCTAGTTAAAAAAGGATGAAAACTCCAATTTTAATCACAGTTCCATACTGGTTTTTATCCATGTGGCTATGAAAGGTAGAGTTCCCTGGGCTGAGGCTGGGTACAGTGCTAGAATTGCTCATGGCAGACCTGCAGCCATGGCCCCATGACCTGATGGGACATAAATCCCTTGCATCTCTCAAGATTGGGCTATAATGTCTGATCCATAGTGGCCTAACTCACCATTTATTTTCATAATTGATAAATCCAACATGAGAGGTGTCAGAAACACAGTTCAGTACATGGTTAAACTGAATGACCAGTCCCGGTACCAAACCTTTGAAAATCTAACCAGAGTAGAAGAGTGACAGCAGCTGCTTTGTTTTTAAGCCACTACATGAGCTGTAATTTCACTAACAGATAAAACTACCAGAGTCAGTGAACCTTGGTATTTAGAGGCACTGACCTTTGTCTGTGAGGGCTGTGACTTAATAAGGAAATGCTGATTTAATCTACTAGTCTGCAGAACACTTTCATGTTCTGCTGCAGTGTAAAAAATACTCTGATTTTTTTCAACCTACTGATACTGTTCCTTACTGTTTCCTTGTGCCTTCCTTGCCAGGATTTTCAGAATTTCATGGCCACGCTGGATGAAATCTTGGTGCTGAAGTCAAAGTGTGTCCAAACAATGCGAGCCCAGCTTCAGCTCTGTTCAGCCTCCCCTGGCACTGACAAATCACTGCAAACACGTCCATCCGTTTAGACCTTCTTTGCTTGCACATGCACTGGAGCAGCTTCAGGAAACGCCAGCCAGCACTTTGCTACACCTGGTGCTGCAGAGTGTGGGTGGTAGGGGATAGGTTTTGGTTTGATATGTTTGTGACTAGCATGTGTTTTATATAAGAGTGGAGCGAATTCTGAGTAAATGAGAGATGACTAATTAGCACCATAAGCTTTGTATTTCATTAATATCAGTAAGCCACATTCTGAACAGTAACAATTCAGCAGCCTTTAAATATCTCACCGAGCAGCAGTCAAGTTGTGTTAATGTATCATAGCAGTGTCTCACATGTTAAAGGCAATCCTGTGATGCCAAGTAAGTGAAACAACTTTGAAGCCAGGTACAGGTCAGAACAGAAATGCTCAAAAGCTACCCCGAAAAGTCTTTGCAAACAAAAGCCAGAAAAGAGAGAAGAGCCAGACGTTGTTACACTAAGGTGTCTGGACCTTAAGTATTTGGATGTCAGGGCAGGGTGTGAAGTGCTGTCAGTTTCAGAAGAAGGAAACCTATTGTTGAATTAATGCTTGGGATGAACCCTCCAGAGCTTCTGAAAGAGGTGCCTTTAAGTTATGGGTAAGGAGTGGTTTAGCAGGGACTTCCTAGCAAAGATTCCATCTGGCACGTTAATAAGCACATGGGTTTCATGCTGCTGCCCAGAGGAAAATGCCAGCAGCTGTACTGGCAGCACACCATATCCAGTGCCTGCTCTGAACAGAGCTGAACAGATTTCTCACATGAAAACGGGGTCTGCTTGGAGGCACTGGGCTTCCAGAAACTGCCGACAGCACTGTCATGTGAAACTGGTATTTGAGTCAAGGGCTACGGAGCCATCAGCTGGAGCCCTGCAGAAGCCCTGGTGCTGCAAGCATTGCATCTGAACCACAAAGCCAGTCCACTTGCTTTGAAGGCACCAGTGACCTTGAGACATGCTTGCTGCGTGTGCACTCCCACTCCAAAATTAGGGCTGTCGCAGCACATTCATCCATCTCTGTGTCTCCTCAGTAATGCCTGTGGTAGCTCATTCAAAGCCTGCTCAGTAGCCAGAAGTGCCAAGGGGAATGGAACACTGCTGACCAGCTGTGGGTTTTGCTGCCTGCCTGCACAGCCTCCCTGAGGAGCCCAGGTTGGGCTGAGCAGCAGGACAGTAATCACACTGACACTCTGGGGCGCATATTTGGTGCAAACACTCCCAGGAATGTCACCCAGCATAGGCCTGGGAAACAGAAGCAAATCCCATATCACTGCCCTGGCTGTTGTTTTTAGCACTGTTTAGTCTCCCTCTTGCAGCTGAGACTGGATTCCTCTGTGGAGAAGAGAGCAGAGTTTCTCTGGGGTCTGAGGTTATGGCTCTCAAAACAGCCCCTGTGTCCTGGTCACAGACCAGCAGCAAGGCACCTGAACCTGGGTCAGAAGCCTCCCTCACTCACCCAGGGAGATGAGGCATCCCAGGAGCAAAACTCTTGGTATTTCTGCATGGCACAGAGCAGTGGTGCCTGACAGCCACCAGAGGAGCTGTAAAGCAGCGGGAGATCAGCACTCCGCAAAAACCACAAGTGTTTAAAACCACCAATTCCCTCCACTTCCTGGGGTCAGGGAGGGCTTTCCTGTGAGTAAGGTGAGGGGAATACAGGGCAGCTGGGTAGTCCTCCTGATAGCATAAAATAGATGTGGGCACTTAGTTTCCCCAGCACGTTCTCAGCAAGCATGCAGCAAACACTGCTGTCAGGGAGCAGCTGAGGAGTTTGGCAAGTCTATTTGAAACCAGAGAAAAGGTCAGACTCTAGGATGTGTGCACAGGTCACAGGCAAATGTGATGCCCAGTCTGAAACAGTGCAAGGGAGGAAAATTTTCCCTCCACATATTTTAACATTTGGGAAATGAGTGCTCTTAAAACCAGCAGGTTTTTAAAAAGCATCTGAGCAAAGTATGTTCACTGGCATTTAGAGTGTCTTACACAAGCTGGCTATTCCTAAGCAACACACAAGAACCATTTGCACAACCCACAGTCCCATGTCCTAACCTTGGAATCTGCAGGCACAGTTGTGACAAGACAGATGAGTGACCAAAAATTTCTGTGAGCAGCGGAGATGTGAGTTCAGTCAGCTGCCAGATTGGAGCCACCTGTGAATCCCATCTGATCTATTGTGAAAAAAGCAAATCTGGCAGATCTGAGTCCCAGCAGCAGTTCCCAGAGCAGGAACTATCTGCTCCCTCGAGGAACAGCCAGGGACACTGAGAAACAACAAATAATCAAAACAACAACCACACACAATTTTCCAATGTCTGATACAATCTTTTTTTTTTTTTTAAATGGGTTATCCAGCCAATCCACATGACTATACCCTCTTAAATATCTTATTATGTCTTTTCTCCAAATTTTATTTTCTCTACTGAAGGTGAGATTTCACCAAAATAAAACAAAGCACCTGGCTGTGAAAAGCAGCCCATCCTTGGCAATAACATGGACATTGCTGCATGCCCCAAAGATACCAACAATGGGTTCTTCATGTGCAACAGAAACTATCCAGCTGTTGTCAGAAATGGTAACATTTTTCTCTCTCCTTTGAGGTTTATTACCTAGTTGCTGCTTTAATTCTTGTGTGAAAATGTGCTAAATGAACACTTTAAGAAGTGTCATCCCCTTCCTACTGTTTGATATTTCACTGACAACTGCTACAAAAGGTTTTCACTTCAACTTGAACATGCAGTAAAGTGTCATAAAAGCAATCTAAGAGATTAGAGAGCTGGGCCATGCGCCACCAAATAAACACAGAACTAAAATGGATTCACTTTTGTATTCAGATGCAACAATGACTATTAATGCTTATTAGCAAAGGCTTGATACTTTATTTCAATAACTGAAGGAATTTAAAATAAAATTCAGTTTGCTACAGAACTCTGGTGAAAATTATTTTAGGTAAACATCATCAAAATGTCCATTTGATTGACTGCAAAAGATTAAGTGGGGCTGGAAATCTGTATGGGGATTTTCACAGGGCTTGTTGGTGTGGAGAGTTTCAGGAGCCCTGACCCTTCCTGGCCTGCAGAGCAGCCACAAAACGCTGTCAACACGGGCTCTGTGCTCCAGATCCGCAGCAGGAGCCACAAGGCCGGGCAAGAAAAGCCCTGGGGCACTGGGGCAGCCCGACTGCAGGATCAGGAGCCCTCGGCTGCCATGGGGTGAAAGGTGGCTCTGCAGCACCAGAGCCATCTCCAGGCTGCTGCTGTCCAGAAGCAGCAGAAGGCAGCCCAAAGGTGCTCTCGTTGAAAGCACAAGCACCAGTTCAGGCACTGCCTCTACACTTACCAGCCTTGCGCCCAAGCACACAGACCTCAGACAGAACCTCTGACAAAGGCACAGCAGGGACACAAATCAGTGTGACCTGACAGCCTAAGGAAAAGCTCCAAAGTCGTGAGTGTGACCAGGGATGCAGCCAGTCTTCTCACCAGGCAACAGCAGGGCAGAGCCCAGCCTTGCTCCAGCCAGCACAACCTCCCCCTGCCCCAATGAACTGTGCCTGGACAGTACCAGATCAACAAGTGCTGCACAGCACCCTGAACATTGAACTCTGGTCACACAGGCTCTCTTGTTACACATTCATTCAGCAGTTCCTCTTGTCTAAGCCACCCCCTTAACCCCTCACTCTGTGGTATTTTCTTCTCTGAGAGGCCAACATAGCAGGACCCTTCATGCCTTCAGCCACCCAAGGATTTAAATCCAGAAACATCACTGCCAAAGCAAGAGTGGTGTCACCAGGGTAGACCTGGGGGGGGTCATGGCTCTCTGAAATAAGACCTTGCATCTTCACAGCTGCCACTTCCCATCTTCACCTCCCCGAGAGCTCAAAAAGCAGAGTGATTATTCTGTGGGGTTAAAAGCCAGGCCTTGGAGGGGAACTGTGGAAAAAAAAAAACAAAACACCCACACACTAATACAATCAGAGATTATTTTATTCAGAGGTTTGGTCTAAACAGCTGTTTCTTTGCTGGCAAAGACTTCTTGCCCCTTCCAGACTGTCTGGTACCAGATGGGGACTCACTGGGGTAGCAATTCTGAGAAAACCAGAACGAGCAACACAACCGAATGCTCTCAGCAGTGATGGCAAAGCAGTCTGAATTTTGTTTTCAACATTTTCCAAATAATCAGGAACCCCATTTCCTCACTTCATTGTTGCATTTCTCACCTGGGAAGGAAGAAAAGCTGGGCACTACCTGCACTCACAGAGGCAGCAGCTGCTGTCCTACCAGCTGCTCAATGTCCTTCTTAGACAATCTTTATTTCAGCTCCACCTCTAGAAAATGGTGAAGGTCAACACTATGGGGTATGTGCAAGGCAACCTGCCCTGCTCCTCCTCATCATCCCTGTCCACAGCTCCTACATACTTGCCAGCAGATCCCCATTTTGCATCATTTTAAGTAAACATTTAATTCACAAAGCTGGCACCCCACAGAGAATTCCATGACTGCACACTGGGCCCAAATTGGATGTTTTGGTCATAGAGAGTTAACAGCATAATGGAGACAAACACCATCCCCTTTGGAGTCCTGATGAGCTGAAACCTTCTACTGAAAAACCTACACTGGTGCAATGGGCTAAGACATTTTGCCCTCCAGAAGTCCAATGCTCCAGTTCCAGGCTCTAACGTGAGTTTGGATCCCTAGGCTGGGGTTTTGCCACAAAACAGAAATTAGCCACAGAGAAGCAAAGCACCTTCTACCACTGCAGCTGCAGCCCAGAGACCTCTGGTGTTCACCCAACAATGCTCACACATGCCCACAGGAGATGGCAGCACCTGGGCGGGCAGGATCCAGCAAGGTCCCCGTCTGCTGAAGCCAAAGAGCATGAGAGATGGGAACCATGACACTGGGAGTTATATTGCAGGGTTTTATTAGTTGTTCTTCTGCAGAATCAAAATATTTAGCAAATTAGAGATTCCTCAAGACTGCTGATATTTCATGTATTTAGAACTTGATCAATGTACAATATAATACTTTGAACTACCAAAAACAACCCCAAACCTGATTTGTAGTACTACATATTATTATGTAATTCTATAGCAGTGTGAAAAATGGAACTAATGCAGTGAGTATATCTGTTTTAAAGAAAGTGCTTGAAAGAAATCTCCTGCATCACATTGTGTATTATTTAAATCAAAAAGATTAACTGA